TTAGGACATCGAATTAAGTCTCCATCCATCCTTCTGTAGGCTGACAGCAGTCTACCCTATCGCTTTCCATCACATTCTTGCTCCCTCTTCATCAGGAGCACCCCCAACCCTCAGCACTCATCTTTGAGTGTTGTAGCTTGCAAAAAACCCTCCCAAAGAACAGGTTCTACCATCTAGGTACCGCATAGGGACACCACCACTCGCTTTCATTGTCTTTTGTGTTGGTTTTGGTTGGTTTTCACCACTGAACCTCACTTTGACTCACAGCATACTGCTTCCACCTACTACTGTTTTTGGGGTCCTTTGCCCTCTGGTTAGGACAACTCAAGAGTCTCTCTGGCATAATCACATGTGTCACCCAGCTCAAGCTGTTCTCAGACACATTTGCAGATTAGGCCTAACACAAGATATACAAATACAGGGGGAGCAATCCTCATGTAAAGGTTGCACACAAGGCAAATTATCTTCTGAAGCTTTTAAACCTTCGTGGAAATGTGCTACAAAACCTCTCAAGTTGGTCCATGCTGACCTTCTTGAATTACCTGTTGAATCCTATTTTCAGTCAAAATGTATATTAACCCTCTTGGATGATTATTTGTCCTATGGTTTCTGTCTCTACCTTCACAACAAATCTGATACTTATACTGCATTTGCCAACTGGATGGTGTCCATGCAAAATACTACTGGGCATCATCTACTTGTGCTCTGTTCAGATCGAGGGGGAGAGTTTATGGGTCATACCTTCAAGGTGCTCCTTTCTTTGCACAGTATTACTCATCAGTTATCAATCACCAATCAACCACAACAAAATGGTTGTGCTGAAAGGTTCAACCGAACCATTTCCAAAAAAGCAGGAACAATTCAACATCATGCCTGCATTCCAAAATGCTTCTGGAACTTTGCCTTCAATTGTGCACTTCATGTGTACAATAGAACTCCTCTCAAGAGGATTCTCTTTAAAACTCCAGTTGAGCTTTTCTTAGGAAAAGTTCCTGACATCACCTACTTCCGCACCTTTGGCTGCAAAGCCTTTGTATGGGTTCCTAAAGAACAAAGGAAAGATAAATTGGAACCTCATGTGATCGAGATGGTATTTTTAGGTTATGAACCAAATACAAAAGGATATCAATTCCTTCATGGACAAAAGATCATTCTTTCTTGTACCACAAAATTTGTAGAAGACTCTTTTCCTTTCTGCTCTGATCATTCTTCAAAATCCGAAACCTTTGACCCTGGTTCCAATGACAACCATGAATCATCTTCTTCCGACTCTGAAAGCCTTCATTCACTTCTGGATCCTGATCAGATCCAACTGCTGACTCATCACTGGCAACCACCTCATCCTAATACTCCACTGAACCAATACCCACAGCAGAGAGCTGTGGACCAGCCTAGAGCTCATCAACAACAAAGAAGAGCACCTGCTGCTGTACCACCAGTTGACCCTCATCATCTTAGGCACCCTCATGAACCACAGAATATTCCTGGTGACTCATGAAATGTTTGTAGAGCTCAACCACCTGCTGATGACAGAGAACCTTGTCCAAAGCATCAATTTATTCCCATCTCTCATCCTGGAAACATATATGGAGATAGACCTCCTGTCCAGATTGGAAGGGACATACAACAAAATTGGGATCAAGCACAAGAGTGGATTCATAATGCTGAGTGCCATGCACAGCAATCCAGAGAAGATATTCAGAGATACTCAGAAGAACAGGAGACCTCCTTCTCCAAGGTTACCTCCTGCTTTAGTTCCTCCTCAAGTTCCTCATCAGTGGACTGAACATCCACAAGGAACTACTCCACCTTCTCCTTTATCACCACTCACTCCACTTCCTGGATACTCCACAATCTCCTAAAGGAATGCCTGGCCAAGAGGCCAAAATGCATCCTTTCAAGTTTGCACTTGCTGCTCAAATCAAGGAATCTCCAGAACACTTTAAAGATGTGCTAAAATTATCTCCTGATCTACAAAAGAAATGGGTCGATGCTATGAAAGATGAATTAAAATCTATTGAGGAAAGACAAGTATGGACTTTGGTGGATCCCCCAAGAGATCAGAAACCAGTAAAGTGTCGATGGGTATTCACTATCAAAAGTGATGGCCGTTACAAAGCTCATCTTGTGGCAAAAGGCTTTACACAAGAATTTGGCACCGACTTTGAAGATACCTTCTCTCCAGTGGCTCATTTTGAAACCATGTGCAAATTCTACTTGCATTTCACTGCCCAGAAAAATTGGGAAATGGAAGCCCTGAATGTTAAAACTGCCTTTTTATATGGCAATCTCGATGAAGAAATTTATATGGAGCAACCAGAAGGTTTCAAAGTTCCAGGTCAAGAGCACAAGGTTTATTAGGTTGCTTAGAGCCCTTTATGGCTTAAAGCAAGCAGCATTAGCATGGAATAAAGCCTTACATGCATCACTGCTTCACATGGGCTATATACATTCAAAAGTGGATGCTGGAATCTATATCCATATGTCAAAAGCTGGCATTGTCATCTTTCTCATCTATGTCGATGATGGACTCTTCCTAGGATCAGGACAAATGTCTTCTTAAAGCCAAGAAAGAAGAATTTATGAAGAAATGGGAATCCCTGAGACCTTGGTGAAGTCAAGGAATACCTTGGCATTCAAATTCACCATAATAAATCAAAGAAAGAATTATATCTTGATCAAATCCCTTACATCAAAAAGGTCATCAAAAGGTTTAATATGGAGACTGCTCGAAATGTTCGCACTCCATTACCTTCAGGATATCAACCAGAAAAAGGACCATCAGATTATCAAGCCACATCATCACTCAGATCACAGTACCAATCTATCATCAGGTCTCTACTCTATATGGCCCTTGGTACTTGTACTTGTCCAGATATCACTTATGCAGTCATCCACATGTCTCAATATATGGCAAATCCTACTGAGGATCATCACAACAAGGCCCTGCACATAGTTTGTTATGTTGCATCCACTCCGAAATTGGCCTTATACTATTCTGGCCTCAAATCTTGGATCTTTGGTTTTGCTGATTCCTGATTGAGCTGCTAATAAAGACACTCATCATTCCACTACCAGTTATGCTATGTTCCTCAGAACATCCCTTATTTCTTGGCAATCAAGAAAACAGAAGACTATTGCACTCTCCTCTACAGAAGCTGAATATATGGCTCTCTGTGATGCTGCACTGTCAAATCAAATGGCTACATATGCTATTTGATGAACTTAAACTCAAAACAGAAAAGACCATACTCTATTGCAATAATATGGGAGCTCACTTTATTGCTGAGAATCCTGTATCAGATGGTCATTCTAAACATATTGAACATCCAATGACACTTTGTTCACTGAATGTGTACAAGATGGTTTGTTCAGTATTGAATACATTCAAACTGACAAACAGAAAGCAGATGGTCTTATGAAATCTTTGACATGGCAGAAATTTGAAACTAATCACTTGTCAATGGGCTTAGTTAATCTCCCATTCTAGAGCGAAGGGGGAGTGTTGGAAATATAGTAATAGTTCCGATATCTAGATTGATCCTAGACTTACACATGTATCAACACATTGTTTGTCACATGACTTGCCTTAGCAATCAGCTCCACAATGACATCAGTTATGACATCATTTCATATGTCATATTCCATGACATTCTCTGCTATTCCATACTATACATAGTAGTAGTTTCCTTTTATGCTACTGGTCCATGTGTACCTACTCATGTATATAAACTCAGGGGTATCTCTCCTAGAGTCCCCATTCATCTCAAGCAGACAATCTAGTGTTCACTTGAAACAACTGAGCCCCTTACAAGTTTTCACTCAAGTCTACAACTGTTCTAACAAAGGCAAGTGCTCTTGTCTTATTGCTCTTTCATAGTAGCCTGTCCTCTGCAGTGATATCAACTTGGCAGTCCAAGTGTAGTAGTCTGGTGGAGTACTCTGCAGTTCAACTGCACAACTGCTGACTCAACTCATCATCAAGTCCGACAGGATAGGTGGATGGTACTAAGACACCTGTAAAGCTGTACATACTACAAAGCCACTGCAAAACAAATACAAGTCCAGTAGAAAATCGAATGTTACTTACCCATGATGTGGCCATTCTGTTGTTCTCGGGATTGGCAGCAAGCACTGGTGTTTCAGGTTAGTTGTTGTCACAATGACGCGGTGCTTATACAAAGCTCAGAAACGGTGTTAGGTTCACTGTCGCCGGTGGTTAACATAACTTCGCGTCCGTATGTACCGTCGAAGCGTAGTCGATCGCTTCCATGCCGCATGTAACATAGGCCCGGTGAGTGGAAATTGATAAGCGGTCCGATTCCTATGTGAATAGCTGTACTGCGTTACTTCCCTATCTGCATGATGCCGTAGCTAATATTTGATATTCAGCATTACCTGGTTGATGATTGTCTGTCGATTTTGAGCTGAAAATCCTGGCGATTACGCGACGACGCGAACAGGTAAGTATTGGCTCTCGCATGCATATCCTCTTCTCTAAATGCCCAATTCTAGACATGAAATTGACCGAGAGGGACCGGGGGTGCCAAATCGCGGGATCCCTGCCTACCGAACAGTCTCTCCAACACAGGAAGGCCGACTGGCGATACCACGATGGAGGTCGGCCCTCGAACGAACTTGCTCACGATAGTTTCATTGGAACTTTCATCTACATCTAGGGGTTCCCTAGTCAACAGGCAATGGCCCACCATCGTGCGAAAGTCTGCGAAAATTTACTGCAAGACAGGAGTACCTAGCGCAGCACCCTGAACGGGTCCCCTTGTATTTGGTATTTGGTTTATTCAATTGCATGAAGTTTGGTGTCAAACTCATCGCTCGTAGCCGGTATTTCCTTTGGCCACTCGGATTTCCAGTAACAACGGTAGCGGAATGCCACGCGTTGCGCAACTCAGGTTATTTTTCCCATCTTGTGGATGGAATCCACATACACTATTTCTACCCCTGCCTAACTCAGAATTTTCTACTAACTCGTATCGTGTCTAATCTTTCTGCACAACAGTCATCGCCTCCTCTTCGGGTGTCAGGCGATATGCACAAGAGTGGGTGAAATTATAAGGATCGCCCTATACAGCATTTGGAATTGATGTGACCTGATCAAATGAAAGTGTGAAAAGGCATACATCTGCAACTGCGTCCTGTGATTCGTCGACGAGCATACGATACATGAGGGAACGACCTGGACCGGCATGCTGATCAAGCGTTCACACAAGACAAGTCCTAGGTGCGCTTGGGCCCGATTTTGAACCTGTATATTTGGTGCAAACAGCAAAGACAGCGTGCTGTGGAAGGTAAGATGCGCTGATATCTTTGACAGCATGTACTACCCTATGAGAGCCTTCACAGCTGGATCATCCTGTGCTCGTTTTGTCCATCAGTGAACGCTGAGAAATTAAAATCAGGAAGTAATCGTACTCGGTGTGCATCGCAGCTCAAGACGGTAAGAAGAGCACGCAGATCGCTCTCTTCGCTACCCGTTTTGGTGGTGCTCCCGACGCCAGAGTCTGCTGCCGACAAGATCAAATCTGTTAACCTTCCTGTCTGCGAACCCTCGGCGTCTGCGCCAAACGGTTGATTCAATAACCGATTGATAGCATGGTGATTGACCTCAGCGTTCAAATCAAAGAAATCAGAGTCAACGTCGACAAGAGCGGGTGTCTGCTGAAGTAGTGGTATCAGCGAAGATGATCGGTATTGCAAGCGAATAAATACATCATCAGAACTATCGTAATCTGTGTCTGCATCGGGATTTTGTTTGCGCTTTGACGTGATACGTTAACGGAAAGATACAGCACTGTGTTACACTCTGACACGGCAGACTCACAGGAGCAGGCTTTTTCGGATTTGTGGCCCATCACATGGCCAACCTGATCAATGATATGCCAACCTCACGCCATAGTGATGCTGCCGTGAACTTGTCTCACATCGCCCTTACGATGTGCCAACAGGGCGCTGTTGTATAAGTACACTGTTTTACAGCCTTTCCGGGTTACTTATACTGACATGGTATCCAGTGGTCACTTCTTGGTTAGCATTCCATGGTTCAATATTCCCCGATGTTGTACTGACATGGCACTCAGCGTAACTTCGTTAGCATTCCATGGTTCAACAGTTACCATGGATTCATTCTGGTTCTCGGATTTTGTGTCAGAAAACAGCCACTCCCAGGTCATTCTTTGGTATGACGGCGCACGACTCCCACCAAGCAGTGTCCTTCCTTGTTGCTGTCGCTAGCACGGCTTGTATTGCCCGCTGCACAAGACGGAGCAAAATCGAGGCGAGCTTGGTCGCTCGCTTCCCCACGAGCGTCTGTTGGCAGGTCCTTAGCCGATAGACGCTGTGTCCAACATATATCTGGCGAATGGCAATCGATAAGCAGCCCACTCCTCCCCCATGTCAAAAACCTTGCCGCTACCTCGCACTCCGCGCCTATTTGCACAATACCAAGCAGTTGCTTGCTGATACCTGGGATTTAGCATTATCCCGTGCACTGTTATCTATAGGTTGCAAGGTTGGAGGGCCGTAAGGGGTCATGTGAACATGTAAGTACAGTCTCCAGCGGTGGATCTCCGCCTTGATTGATCCATTGCGACGATAGGCAAACTGAAAAGGCAAAAAAATACCCGGATTTCCAGATCGGTATACTCTACCCGATGTTTCTGAGCCCATCACTGCCGCAGACCGCCAATGCAGTGTTGGAGGGCGTTACGAATGGACATACCAACCCGACAAATCAACTCGTCGCCAGCATGTACAACAGGCGACTGTATCCCCTTTGGGGGTCTCCTCAGCAAGACCCTGTGCATTTGCTGTAAGGTAGCTTGGAATTATTATCCTTGCAAGCGATCGCTCGTTGTCTACCTGGCTTCCCAATGGTTGTCTGGTACCGGACCACCCTCACACGAGGTTGCGACCAAGAGCAGAGACCTGTTCGTTCAGTCGGAGGAGGTTCGGTGATCAATTGGGATTTAAAGTCTTATCCATTCACAATCGCGGGGTGTACAAGTGGCGCACTGACGGGTTTCTGGAAGTAAGTTAATGCTACCGGAGGTTCATAAGACTTGCCACTAACCTTTTTTTAACACCTTCAACTTAGGATTCCACTACTTTTCTCCTCAGTTTGCGTCCTTCCCTGCCCTCCATTCAATTAGCACGATGCCATCACATAGCCGTTATAGATACCCGAGCTGCCCTTCAGGTCGATGTTCCGAAGGATCCATGCCCTCCATATGTATGGCAGCCCTCCCAACGGTCTCGCATGGAACCCTTTCTAGCCAAATCATGTTCCTACCTGACCTCCAAGTCAGGAGGTATTTGACTGCGAAGGACGCCACCGTATTTCCACTTATGATCCTTGGAAGGTCTTCCACGGTCCATATTCTAGAAAATCTGAAGCCTCCGTATATTTGAACCCTCCTAACGTCTCCCTCCCACCAGCTCGTTATTTTCAATCCACCGTCCCCTTCAAAACCATGCTCTCTCAGTCCGAGTTTTCGATCCTCGACCGCGTCCCGGAGGCGGCATCCGATTGGTCTGCTTGTTATCTTCACGGTCTAGAAAACAGCTACTGCCACTTCCCAGACGGACCTTTTCTGGGAGAACAAACGAGTTCTTCGCTACCAGAGTAGGCATCACGTCGATTCTCTGCAATGTCCTGCCTCTCACTGTCATTTTCTGCATCAGTAATCGTATCTGGTATGATGATGATGCCGAGGTGCAGAGACTACTTATATTTATCTTTCATGCAGCCAACTTACGCTTGTTACCATGTTCCAGCAATCGTGTGCGTTGGCTATGCCAGCTATGACTGATCTGTCGATGTTGCGTATGGATTGCCCGAACGCTGCTGTCGTTGTAGGCCACGCAGATTGTGTGCAAAGTGCAGCAAATGACTACGAGATCTCCCAATACCACTGTCCAAATCCAGGATCTGACACCGTAAGTTCGACTTGGTATTACAACGGTGGTTACTTGCTGACTGTTTTCATGTTACCTGACAGCCTGCACAATCCATTCCCTCCGTAACCCCGGTTCAAGCCACTGAGGCCACCGGTCCTGCCTCGCATCCCGCTCTTGACCAGGGAAACTTAGAATCCTTCGGCGGCGGTGCTAGTGCCGTCGTTACCTCCACCAATTCGGTTGGTTCCTTCGCCACCGCCAGCATGGCAAGCTTTCCGTCGGAAGTTTCCCATACACACCCCTTCCCAGTTCAGTTCGCGAACTCAGGTCCTCCACAACAGTCCTTCGATGATCTAAGGCCCTGTCTTTGGGAGGACGATCAGGGGGGTAGATGTGGCGAACTCGTGGGTCGGGATTGTCAGGACCACCTAGCCTCTGCCCACGGTATCCTCAAGATATCGGCTCGTACGCGCATCAGATGCGGTGCTTGTGGCAAGGTGGGGCTGCGCAAATTTATCTTAAGGCATTACAGGGAAAGACATCTTCGATTCCCTCGCTCAAAGCGAAATGCCGCGTAGAACCCAAGGATTTGGATTGGATTGCTGTGTTCTGGTACGGCTTATAGATACCTCCTGTATTCGACAAAGCTGACAGACCTTTACTCCTGTCGGTGCGCCTGCTAGACGCACGCTCGCGAGAAGGGGTCTCATTAATATAGCCGTTTCAATTACTTCCTCGTCACCGTTACTCGCCCTTTCATACGACCTTCCTCTGTTCCATTCTACGAATGTGGTTATGACGATGCCGATCCGCCACTACTGTCGTCACATACCCACAAATACATTGCCGTCACAGTCTTTCGGTTTCGAATGAAATATTGGCTAACAATCAAACACGCTTCAACTCCTATACTACAGCCAGGCCGCTTGTTCTCGCTCGCCAGCTCTCACCTACTGTCTCACCTATTCCTGTGGACGGGTTTACCTAAGATGGTTATTGTCAGTCATGGCACATAGCTTTGTTTCCAGTATCACCTCGAAATATTCTAATCGAAGGTTCGCGGAGCCACGAGGTGCTTGCCTGTCACAGACTCCAGTGATCCACGCCCACCGCCAAGAACGAGAACTTGCGTTCAATGCCACAAAATTGGTGTTACCTCATCATCAGTTCCTGTGACGTGGATCCTTGGAAGCTATGGGCTCTCAGCCCTATTGGTTTCAGGAGTGTCACGCCGTCCCGTTTATCCGGAAATAACAGGTGCTGCAATCCACCAGCACAACCCACCCATCAATCGGCTCCTACTTCAAGGTCTGCGTTGCATGGAACCTCCCGATATCGCGTTGGAGGCCTGTCAAAAAATTGCTTATCTTCGGGAGATTCCAGAAATTATGTGCTTCCGCGCCTATCATACCATCCACAGATACAAGGGCGCAGCCACCCACCCCCATGCAGCCACACAGTATATCGGCGTATTTGATCGGACACGTCCCACGCGTACGGGGATATTTCCAGAATAGAATCTTTACTATCGCCATTCGTTTACTTCTGTGGCAATGTGTCAGCATTTCCACACTCGGAACATGTTAAATACGGAGTACATTGTACCCTCGTGCAGCTGAAGGCACTACCCGTCTCGTTCCTCATAGCGCTCCACTCTCCTTTTACCCAGTGCTTTCGGTCTGATTCTGATCTTCATGATCCGCTCTACCAGCAAGCCAAGGGCTTTATTCTACCCGGCGCAGTCGCCCGACATACAAATCGCGTTGGACCATCCGCCGCCATCATTCTCTCGGGACGCGGCTTCCTCAGAGCAGGAGTGTGAGCTCGACTACATGCTGTATGGCGCAGTACCCAGGGACTCCTCGCATGGCGAAGATGCACTGCATCAAGACCGGACCATCCCACCATTGACGTGAGCGGCATTTCACATTTGGGTACCAATTTTTGACGTATCCTGTATTCAGAGGTCATCCTGTAATCTTAGCCGAGGTTGGCCGTCCTACCATCTCTTCCACCTTAAAGTGATTTCTAAGGGATTGCTAGTATGATCAACATTTTCCGAGCCATTTGGCACAAACCTCGGCTATTGCGCCTGCCCCAGGAATACATGAAACTAGAGATGTAAATGTGCATCGCTTCTCCGCCGAGTTACCCGCCATGACACTTATCGCACTCCCAGTATGTTCTAGACACACTATACCTAGCTGACGATGTTGGCAAGGTTGAGCCGTCTGTGGTGGGTTCATGTTTGGCTTTGACCACTGGCATCCCCTGAGGTCGCTAACACATTACAGTTCCCTTTCGCGCAACAGCATCCCCTTGCAAATCCACTCCCAGCCGCCCAGGCTGATGCCCTCGACCTGATGCATGGAGTCCAGCACTGGGATGTTCAAAATGTAGGGGTACATGATCCCCTTCCCGTTGCTTCATCGACCAGTCACGGCCAAAGACATGGAGGGCCGTCGATGGTAGGCTTGACTTTGGCGAGTACCGCCTTATGTTACTGATTAGTTGTGTTAAGGTTCAGAACTTTATGTTGCAGCCACATGACGCCCATTCACCTTGCACTGACGCTAGTGTACAAAACGGTGAAACGATGTGGAATATGAAAACTGATCGAGAGATCCTTTTTAATCTCGGAACTCGCGGAGAAGCTCGTGGCTACCAGGGTGAACAAACCTTGCACGATGCACATGAATCATTATCTCCTTTTTCCAACTGCACTCCATCGTCTTCTCAGGGACTGCTCGCCGGGGCCGTTCCAACGTCCGCATATCCCCCATTCGTACCAGATATCGTTGATGGAACCACGACGAACGTGAGGATGATACCCCTCCCACCCGATCGTACTGTGCTCCACCATGGAGGGGGGGACACCCATGAAAGGATGGATAGAAGCTGTCACGCCTCTGGCAAGATGGCACTATTGTCGTATTCAAATGGGCCAAGGCATCAAGCGGTGAGGAGACTATCCACATTTCCATATTCCCCATGTAACCAGCTGAACGCTTGTTACCGTATTCCAGCAACTATGCACATCGTGCGCATCAACTATGTCTGTGCTGTCGGCGCACCACGTAGACTCCACGAAAACCGCCGCCATTTTTGGCCATCATGACTGTGTGCAAAGTGGTCCAAATTACCATATTTCCCAGCTCTACTCTCCAAATGCGGGACCTGTCATTGTAAGTTTGACTTGATACCACAAGAGCCGCCGCTTACTCATTCTTTCCATATAGCCCGCACAACACGTTCCTACCATGGCCTCGGATCAAGTCAATGAGGTTCCCTCCGCGCGTCCAGCTCTTTTCTCAGGATACTTAGAACCGCTCAACGGCGGTGCCAGGCTCCGTCGTCACCTTTTGGCAGTTCGGTGGACCACCCTTGCCACAGCCAACATGACAAGCTCTCCATCGGAAGCTTCTCAGATACACCCCTCCATAACTGGGCCTTCAACCTTCGCAACCTCGGAGCTTCCACAACAAGTCTTTCGGTGATCTGAGGCCCTGTCCTTGGAAAGACGGACAGGAGGGTGTATGCAACGAACTCGTGAGCTGGGAATTGTCAGGTCCATCTGGCTTCTTCCCACGGCGTCGTCAACATGTCCGGGTCACACCATTCTCACAGTGCGGTGGTTGCCGCTCACCACTAAGGCGCAAGTCTTTTTTAAAACACTTTCGAGTGGTGGAGCTTGGATTCCGTCGCCGAGAAATGAGCTACGCTAATGATTGTTGTCATCTAATAGGGTACGGAGAGCTAATTGCGTGCTCGAGAATATTGAAAGACCTTTGTTCCGGTCCTGCACACAGGACCTGACGCACACTTGCAAAAAGGGGTCCCGTGTTTATGTAATGACTTTCCTCTGATTGTTGCTCGTTCTTTCCACGCACCCGTTTCCATTCCATCATAGTTATGAATATGGTCATGAACGACGCTGAGCGCTGAGCGCTTGATCTGCCACTATGTATGTACCGGTTATCATACACTCATAAATAAGTAAATGGCAGTCACGTCTTTTGGTTCCAGTTAGACACTTCATCTTGTAAAGCGCAATCAGGCTGCTTGTTCTCGTCCTGTAACTCTCATTCTACTGTCGCACCCACGGTTTTACTTATTTGTGTAAGGTAGGGAAGGTCCCAATGGAGATAGCGCCTGGATGTACCTAAGTCTCACGCAGGAAGTTCAAAGTAAATGCCAATATTGTGGGGCTCTGGCTGGGAAAATCACAACGCCACAGTCCACGGAAAGCAGTGAGCGCGTAGAAAATAACCAAGGCTTCAACCTGCTTCTCCGTAAAGCTACAGTCTGCGGCTCACCCGACCGCCCCGCTCGCCGCGCGAGCCAGTCCGTTTCTTGGTAAAACAGTTCCTGGAATCTCGACTCTGGTGGCACCCTGTGAACGAAACGAAGAGGACCGGGCCCTTATATGGAACGCCATCAGTGATGGCAGGCGCAAAGATCGAAACGCAGGTTCACCTTAGACAAGGACCCAGGTGATCTGATCAGAACATTGCGTGCAAAGGGCTAACCTGTAACGTCATCGTATGCTGTGGGTCGTTCCTTGGACAGCAGAACTGCCAGGAGCTATACTATTATAACTTGTACGAGACTGCCGACCTCCTGAAGTGAATTACGTGCACTTCCTAGGATACCAATGTCTCTGACAGTCTCAACTACTCCCGACAGCGAGTTTGACAGTCGAGCATTTCCCCTCTTTCGTGGAGGCGTGAGGTTCTGTTGATGGTAAGAACTTTAATATAGCACTACTACCTACTGTATTTACTTCAATTCGGACACTAACAGGGCTTAGGCTAAGGAACAACAGCGTTTCTCCTCAGGCACTTTGTTTAACTGTTCCTACACGGCCAAATGCGCCTCCCGCCAATTGATATCAGCTGTATAAGCACATTGATTCTGTTGCCGAAGAAAAGGTGGCTCCACGTCAATCAGAACCTTAATCCTTTGCTCCTTCATGGTTACAGAAATCCATTTCAGGTTAACGTACGACTCCACCAGACTTCGCGTGTCTTCCTTCATGAAGGGGAGTCGGCGTGGCTGCAGCGTTGCCTATCTTGGAACGGAAGGTCAAATGAATGTGGAATTCCAAGAGATGGCATAACTTTCTGACTGCATCAGAGGCGTCGTCAGACGTTACGAAGCAACTCTGCACCATATAAGAACGAGGCGGGTGGTCCATAGTGACCAAAGGCAAGCGTGTCAGTTCCATTTTGCGCTGACATTACCATAGAAAGCTACCTACAAGGTTAGTTGATGGAACCACCTTGCACAGCACTGGGATTTAGTACGATTGGTCGAATGAGGGCGTAAAGAAACAGTGACCTTATCAACATGAATTTCGTCTCCAGGTACGCAATAGGCAGGTGGAGCGGCCAGGACTGTCACGTTGACCAAGCGTTCGCGTGAGACTAGTTCTACGCGTACTTGTGCCTGATCTTGAACCTACGATTTGGGCGCAAGCAGCAAAGACAGGGTGCTGTAGACGGCAAGATCTGTTTTTTGATTTTGACAGCAGGTACGTACCCTGTCCTTCTATTAGCAGGAATAGGGAACCCGGAATGAACAATCGTGCCCGGTGTGTAAGGATTGCACCCCACCGTTCTTAGCTTGCTAACTTTCCTGTAAGTATTGACTCTCCGCAGCCAGCGGTGAATCAACGAATAGTAATCAAACAGTAATCGATCTCGGCGCAGGATTTGAAGAAATCGAAGTCCGCGCTGATGACAAGGTAGTGTCAGCGACCATGATCAGCGTTTTGCAAGGGAAGTGGGGAAAAAAGGATGCCCCTTCTGTAACCTACAACCTGTTCGCACTTTGACACGGAGCAAGGATACATAAGTACCGCAATGTTTGCGCCGTGCGACAAGACAGATCGATGAACCACTACTCATCGATGATGTCTTCAGCCAAGTTGATATCTTCTGAGATGATATGTGAGCAAGCGATGCGTTACATATACCTGGACTTCAAGCATATGGACGACTTGATGGACTCAACATCACCCTTGCCATCAAGCGCCGTTCTTGGGTATTCTATATTTCGGGCCTTCGGCTGCGGGGGACAAGGTTCAAATTCTTCACTTTAGTCTCATAATGACTTGACGTTCAGTGGCATCCGGTTGAACGGCAACGACTGACCCAACTTATCATCGATTTGACTCGCGCTGCAGAGATGACTGGCAGGTGAGAAAATTGCAACGCCACAGAAGCCATCCAAATGGTCAGCGAAAGCAGTGGGCGCGTAGATGGCAGCCAAGGCTTCAACCTGCCTGTCCGTACAACTGCCATCTTTCCACATGAACCCCTTTTCTGCGGCTCGCTCGATCCACTCTCTGCACCCCACGTGTGCGATGTCATCAGTGATGGCACGCACAAAGATTGAAACGCACGTTCACCTTATGCGAGGACCTACGAGGGTTGGGATCAAGTAATCAAAGCATCGCGCGTAGCGAGCTAACCTACATCGCCATCGCATGTGAGCCATGGCTCCTTGGACGGCGGAACCGCCAGCTACGTCGTACATACAAGACTGCCGACCGCCGAAGCAAAGTGCGTACGTGCATCTCCTGATGCCGGTCCCTCCAACACTTCATCTGCCTCTTCCGACGTACTCCCGCTACAGCGGGTTTAACCGCTGAGCGTTTCCCCTCTCGCGGAGGTGCGATTATGTTGCTCAGGGTTTCGTTGATGGTAAGAACTTTAACCTAGTGCTACTTATCAAGTTGCTAACTTCTGAAAATAAGCCTGGCATGTCACGTATATACTGTACTCGCTGGGTCGTACCCCGATTCGGAGTCTAACAGGACTTAAGCCCTACCGCCAGTCGATACCAGCTGCGTATGCATACATTGATTCCGCCGCTGCACCTATAAAAAAGGTGACTCCATGTCGATCATAACCTTAATCCTTTCCTCCTTCGTGCGCACAGAAATCCATCTCAGATTAACGTACGACTCCACGGGCTTCTAATGAGTCTTCCTTCATCAAGGGGGGGTCCGCGTGGCTGCAGTGTTGCCTATCTTGGATGGAAGGTCGAATGAATGTGGAATTCCAAGAGATGACGTAGGTTTCTGACCGCATGTGCATTGGAGGGACCCTCAGAAGTTGCGAAGAAGCTCTGCACGAGGTCAGAGCGAGGCAAATGAGTGGTCCGTAGTGACCAAAGACAAGCGTGTCAGTTCTATTCGCGCTGCTTAGCCTAGAAAGCCACTCGCAAGGTTCGTAGCAATCTATGTCTCGCGCACTTTGATCCCTGACTCGCAGGCAATTCGATCTTCAAAGTCACTCACACCATCGACTCTGAAAACGACCTCTTTTACCATACGTTTCCTAAAGGTGATGTAAACAGAGATCTCCGTGCGGCCGTAGGCCGTTACCAGTACTGTCGTCACTGGCTCCCATTGCCACAGCACTCTCCTCCGCTTTTGCACTGTAATCCCGCACATGCCTTTGTTTTCGCTACTTGTATGCGTGTGCCGCTTCGAATTCTGCTATGCAGCGACCATCACTTCCTCCCTCGGATGTCAGGCGTGCGCTACACTGTAGTTGATGGAACTACCTTGCACAGCAGTGGGATTTAGTACAATTGGGCAAATAAAAGCGTGAAGAAACAGTGGCCGTATCAGCATCGAATTTCGTCTCCGAGTGTGCAATAAGCAGTTAGAACGGCCGGGAGTGATACGTTGACCGAGCATCCGCGCGAGACAAACTCTACGTGTGCTTGTGCGTGGTTTCGAACCTGTGATTTGGGCGCAAGCAGCGAAGACAGGATGCTGTAGAGGGCAGGGCGCCCTGTTGTTTTTGACAGCATGCCATCCACAGGAATAAGGAAACCGGAAAAATAAACAATCGGACCCAGCGTTACGAGAATTGCTCTCCACAGTTGTTAGGAGATCAACATCTGCTAACTTTCCCGTGAGTGTATACTCTCCGCAGCTGGTGTCGAATCAAAAACAGAATATTGATCACAATCGATCTCGATTCTCGGTACTCAAATTGAAGAAATCGAAGTCCGCGCTATTGACGTGGTGGTATCAGCGACGATGATCGGCGTTTAGTTGCAAGGGAAGTAGAAAAAAAAAAAGGATGCCCCTTCTGTAATCTACATCATCTTCGCACTTTGTCATTGGAACAAGGGTGCTGCACCTTGCCGCAGGGCTGATAGCGCTGATCAGTGATGATGTCATTCAACCAAGCCGATATCTGAGATCTGAGTGTTCACGTGATGAACTTCAAAGTCAGAAGCACTTCCCAACCCGTGCCAGACGACTTGATGCACTTGACATCATCCTTGCCATCAAGCGCTGCTCTTAAGTACTCTGTATTTCAGCTGCGGCGTACAAGGTTCAAACCCCTCACTATAGTCTTATAATGACTTGGTGTTCGAACGTTCAGGTGTGGCCTCCAGTTGAACGACAACCGCTGAGTCGCTGACTCAACTCATCATCGGTCTGACAGGATTGGTGGACCACATGGCTTTACGAGACATTGTAAGGCCATACAAAGCCGGTGCGGCGAAACAAATGCAAGTCCATTGGAACATCGAGCAATACCGAGCTACGTACCGTGGGGTGGCGATTCTGTCGTTCCCGGACTTTTTCGCGACGGCGAACGCGGAGTTCCAGATTGGTCTTTGTCACAATTACGCGGGGGCTTTTACAAGGTTCAGGGACCGTGTTAGGTCCTTCGCCGCGGTGTTCAGCATCGCTACAATAACTTGGTGTATGTATGTACCCTCGAAGAGCGCCTATTCGCTCGCCAAATGTCTCCCACATGTAACAAAGATCCGGTGAGTGACAACGGTCCAGTTCCTATGTAAAAAGCTCCTTGCCCACGTATCAGGGCGTTACTTCCTTATCTGCATGATTCCAGTCCATAGCTAATGTTTGATGCTCAGCATTACTTGTTGAGTGATTACGGGTGACGGTACTATCACATGAGTATTGGCATTCAGCTGTATATCCTATCTGGGTGACCGGATTTATATAGACATAGGCAGAATTGGGGGATGCCTAGTCGCGGGGTCCTGGTCTTCCGAACAGGAATTCCTGAGTGTTTCAACACAGGACGCCAGCTGGCGGTTCTGAAAGAACATACTCACGATATTTCGACTGGAACTTTTATTTACCTCTGCGGATGTTGTCAGTCAAATAGGTAAGGTGGCCCCCTTTGCGCATCCTGTGCAAAAATTTTACTGCAGGATAGGAGTTCCTAGCAGAGCGTCCTTAACGGGTCCCTTGCATTCGGTGTATACATGTTTGCACGAGATCTTTTCCTTTTTGCACCCGGTCTCTTCTTTGGTTACTCAGATGGAAGTAGCAGAACGCCCATGCATTGTACAAGTCGCGGCTGCTGAGATATACCTCTCGCTTGGCCTCAAAGTCGGGTTAAGAGCTCGCGCGATCTTTGTGTCCTCTACGACCAGCCGCGTTGCTGGTGGCGCGCGTGGATTTCCACATAGAAGTATGTCAAAGCGGCCAATGATATGTGCAACCCGACATTAATTTTTCTTTCTTAAATTAGCATGCTCAAGATACACATTTATAGCCCCTTCGACGTGGTCGAGAAATTGCCTTTCGTCGCGAATTCCCTGTCTCTATTGACACTCATAAACTTGTCATCCCAACTCCTGCTTCTGACCCTGCTTCCCACCGAGGCAGCGGCGTCCGCTGTTCCAATTTGCCCGATCCACTACATCGAATCAACGAACGGCTGTCTCCCACTAGGTGAACATGTCGTGGAACAGGGAGAAACACCATCAGAGTAAGTGAGTAAGTCATGCATCGTCTTTTTTCCTTTGCTGACGACCCATCATCACCTTTCACTTGAGCGGTGGCCCTCGAACTGCTTTTCTCGAGGTTTGGGGACGATCTAAACTATTGAATACTGAAATCCTGACACCTGCTACTAGCGGCCATAGTTTGAGGGATATCTTGCGCAAATTGCAGACAACAGTTATAGTGACTCTAATTTTCAACGAGCCAGCATACTCCCTCCAATTGTCGGGCTGGTCAACGCAAATTCGACTTCGACATTTACAGGAGCAACGCAGGAGCAACGACTCATCAATGATTACCATGTTGCGCGAAACCCTGCACAAATCATTCTTTCGTAACCCTGCTGAGGGCGCCGAAAGCAATGTTCCTGCTACCTATCCCGGTCTTTCTCTGGGACGTTTAGAACATTTGTACCTCAGTTATGGCCTTAACGCCATTGGCAACCCCATTAAATCAGTGGGCCCCCCTCCCATCCCAGACACACAGCGCCGACCACCCGGTATTTCGTTGGAGGCTCCCTAGAATCCGACTCCTTCACAGGTATCCGCTGATGACGGACGGCCATGTGGCTGGGGAGACAAGTGTGGGGGTATATGTGACGTGCTCATACGCTACCATTGCGAAGCCCACCTGGCTTCCGCCCACGGTATCGTTAACATGCCGCGGACTCAACTCGTCGAACGCGGTCGGTGTGGGAAGCGTATGGGACACAGGTCTATGTTGTGGCACTATCGCGAGGAGCATCTCGGGTTCCACCGTTGATAGAAGGATGTTCCATGGTACACTCCATTCCCCCAAGGATCCATGTCCTGGTGTGACTGGCTACCCATTGTCCACTGAGTGCACGTCTGCTATCCAGGTGTCGTTACGTGCCGGGATGGAGGGTTCGGGGCTATACAATCCTTTGCTGTACAAGCATCCTCCCTCGCATATATCGAGATCGACATATGTGGGGGCGCCGGGTACGTCTACGCTTAACTCTCCAGCACTCAGCATGTCGCGAGTGCCTCCAACGTTGGTGGGCAATCACTTGCCCGGAGTCGTTCCAGAGTGGCCGGTTGTCACCGCCAGCACTGCCGCGCTCTGAGCTGATAAAGCGAAACTACGAAACATAGCATGCTTTCTGACCCCCGTTCCCAATCTCTGACTCTGTCTTGTTTTTTAACAATCCACAAGCCTTTCCTTTCTACTTTCTGTGGCTCACTCCTACGTTATTCCGATTTGCCCGGTCCTCGCTTTCTTTCTTGGTTCGCTTCCGGTGATATACAAGGCGAATCATTCTTCTCAACGTTGTCAAACACGCTTGAATTCTGCCCATCCCCAGCATCATTATCTCAGGATATGTTGCAGCAGTGCCATCTCAGCCATGTGCTGCACAGTGCTGCACTCGGCACCTCTCCCGGTGGCAGTGTTCCGGAACGGGTGCGAACGTCTTCTTTCGGGTAAGTGCGATTTCACCGTGGGTCGTGGATGACTCATCATTTTTCTGTTTTAGAAATGATTGTTCTACTTTCCCCTCTGAGGTTTGCAAACCGCCCATTTTCGTATTTGATATGAAACCCTGACCACCGTCTAGCACCGCCAGCAAATTTTGAACTGGCCACATGCCCAAACTTTAATGACCCACGCGGGCATAAATGGCGCACAAGATGTTAGTCACTATTCCAATGGTTCTATGGTCGTCACACTTATCACGAACTCAGCATGCTCGATCTGCATCATTGTCGAACGGGGGAACCGGCAACGGCAGGCCGTTTATGGTAGGCTCAACTTTGGCGTCCTAAGCTATTCAAGGGTACTCACTAAGAATTCCTTCTGACCAGCACCCTGCCCAAACGTGCCCCAGGGATGAGAGAGGTGTGGAGATTCGTGGCACCCTTGAGGGGTGTACTAATGCATTCAACTCAATTGGATTCTCCTCCGAAGGGGAGAGGATTGCCTCAGGCTCTCGGGACAATACCGTGGTGGTCACCGGTCATATCCCTGACCTAATGAATGGAGGTCCGAGTTATGTTGCTCAGAATCCATCAGTAAACTGTTCCATCACACCATACCCAACAAATCGTAGTGGGCAAGATGAAAGGCTTTCCTCAGTAAGGACGGTTTCGGCATATTTCAGCGGGTGTTAATTGGATTAAGGTTCCTGCCGTCCCACCGATGCCATGTACTGGTGATTTTCCAGTCATTGGCACTCACGAAGTGGTTCAGATGGATGTGCCGCGGTACGATGTTGAAACTTGCCTGGTGGATCCTCGTAACTACCGCGACACACCGAGCTATTCCTTTTGCCAGGTCGCTGACCTAAGCCCGCCGCTGTCTTCACCTTCAAACGTCTTTCTGCCATCTTCTCAAGGGTTTTATGCGTGCGTGAGCAATGGAGACGTTTCAAACACGCGTTCGTCAGGTGTTGACCTCGCTACTGGAACCACCCTGTCTATGCCAGCAACATCCTTCCCCTACCATACCGTCTCTCAACCTGGCTGTGTACACGATCATGAAATGACGTGCAACGAAGACGGCGCATCTGGCCAGAATGTTTACTCGGCGGTACCGTTGTCATCGCCTTTAAATATGGCTCGGGAGCTACACCCGCCGGCCTCCGACCACTCCCATAATGGCGGGAATCTTCCAATGCCTTTGGGATCACCTATAGCTAACTCTTCCGCTGCTGTTTTCTCGAACAGCTTGCTCACGACACGCCCTTTTTGTGATCACATTGCACGTAAATCCTGTGGTTGGAAGGGTGATGATGGAATGGTATGTGGCAGCCCTGTGACGTCCCATGATTTGCCAAATCACTTCGCTGCTATCCATGGCATCAAAAACATGGCATCGGATATCAAAGTCGAGTGCCGTTGGTGTCCTCCAGGTTCGCGAAAGCAAGTTAAGCGGGAAAGCATGATCAGGCATCTGAGGGAGGTACACTTAAAGTGCCCACGCCCAAAGAAAGGGTCTATGTAGTTTTCCTCGCAGTTTTCTTCAAGACATCCTGAATGTCGACGTGACAATAAGTGAGCACGCACTTCTTGGTTTGTCTTACATAATTTCCGTGTGTTGTGGCCTTCGCTACAAATTGTGACAGGTAGGTGTACCATTCTGCGTATCATCAGAGAACGCTGATCCCTTTAATGCACCCATCTTCCCACTCGTTTTTGATGCTCGTGGCTGACCATCATTTCTCCATCCTTAGAACTCAAAGCGAGAAAGAAATATCCTTTATGCATGATTTAAATCGAAGACGCACTTGCTGCATGCAAGTTGATGATTACGACTATGTTAATAATCGCTCTACTCTATTTATGTTTTCGTATACACGATGAATGGCGGACTGGTTTAGTAGTTTTCAGATATACTTGTTAGGATTCAGTCAATTTTTCTGTTGCAGAAAGCTTTGGGACTCCCAGCTATGGGTAATCTCTGCGTAAACTATGACAGCTCTGTTTGATGAAGAGATTGTATGGGCATGTTCAGTGAAGACGTGTCGCGTCAGTCTCACATCATACTTTTTACCTTCACGGTCGAGAACAAATCAGTACTCGCGAAACGCGGGCCACTCTCGCGACTTCGGCATAACGTTTTAGCTATCGTATCACCAAGCAAAGTAGCGCTCTGGGCGACCCGATCCGGTCCGCAATACTTTCTTGGCCCATTTGCGAGGTTTGTCGAGTCCGCTGTCGCTCCTCTGTGCATGTCCGTCTGTTCAAACATCTTATATTTCGTGTGTTCCGAAAGCACTGGGGAGATGCGACAAAGGTGGTAACCGGCTGCCATGTGATTTACGTCAACGAGCGCTTGCTGACGTCGATAACGCAGGTGCTACATCTGCAAAACTACCCGAGGGTATGAGCAGCGTATGGCATCTGCAAGACGGTCGAATTACAGCATGCGCTTCAGACAGTTTTTGAATTGTTTGAGAGCTCGGCACGCACTGTTACCGATGCTAAGCGCTCTAACGTTGCTCTTAGAGCACTAAGCGATTTGCAGATGTGGATGCCTCCGTTTGGAAGTAACTTGTCGTAAGGTTCCTTTCGCGCTCAGTAAAACGCCTATTGGCCAATGAGAGGGCTTGCTGAAGTACGAAAGAGTTGTCAACAGCCGCGTCGCGTAGCTGCTTCCCAGCTAGTAGGCAGTAGAGTATTGACATACGCAGGACACCAGGAGTACAACAGTTCCTGCGATTTGGGTTTTCTTACCTCATTTTATTCCTTTTGGAAGGTGATTCCACCGGGTGCGTAGCAGTCAACGTCACAAGAACATGTTTCGGTACTCCGCTCAGGAAGGTGATAGAGGTATGTCGGAAGAGAGTAAGTGGACACGAGGGTACTGCAATGATCTCCGATAGATGGATGAGGGCAAGCGAGTTGCTCATAAGATTAGCACAGCGGAGTGTAATAGGAAGGTAACATCACATCACAGGGACGTTGAACCGAGAATGCAAGTTGGACACGAAGCGGTGGCCATAATATTAAATCGATGTGTGCGGAGACTTGAGTAAGGTGATACACCACTGCTAATCAACCAGTGTAGTAAGCTCACCTCTAGGAAGCGTGGTTGCAAACTGAGTAGGGTTCGATTCAGCGGCTGTCGTCTGTGATCGCGGCCAACTCAGCGGTAGGGCTGCGAAGGCCTCTTTTCTTGGGCTTGATATGGTCCCGGGAATGTATTCGGCTTTGGACACGAAGTACACATGCAGCTTTAAGTTCAAGTTCAGTGCTGCCACATCAGTAAATTCAGCCAAATTACAGCATGCACGTTAGAAAGTTTTTGAATGCTCTGCAAACACTGGCGAATATTAAGCGCCTGAACACCCAGGTTTTTGAACGCTTAGCTTTACTGATGCAGGCCATCTTCGATGGCGTGCCAGAGGGTGTCGCCCGGGTGTCACGGTGTTGTTATGTAAGCCAAGTGAGAGCGCCTCTAGACGTAAGTAACTAACCTCGTCAGGGATATGTTTGCAGTCTACTAGGATTCATTCCAAAGTGCTCCTACTGGAGTACTTACTCTCTGCCGCATCTTAACTACGTCACACTCGAATACAGATGAGTTCCCCAATCGCCTCATTGCACTATGAACCCACCTACATCTATCATTTCAATTTGTGTGCCTCAACAAAGGTAAAAGGAAAGGTCAAAAGGAAAGGGTGAGAACCCTTTCTTTTTTAACTTCCGGCAACCATTCATGGGGCTGGCCCACATGTAGACTAGCTTTGGGGCCACTTCCGCACTTCGCCCAAGCGCCCATAGCACCTAGCGCCTTCGATGCCTCGTTGCAATCGCCTGTCCTGTCGTATATAACTGTACCAAGGTGAGAACCATTTTTAGCTCATATCGCTACCTGCATCCTCGCCTCCACCACTCCAACCGTGATGCCAGGGGACCGTACATCAAATGAAACCTCTACAATACCCCTTCAAGTTGTGATTTCTAGCAGGGGTCGACGTTTTATCAAACCCAAATTTCAGCGGCTTCGCCGTTGTACGTGGTCGATTCATATTATATGACATCTCACGACGGTCTACGTGCACAGTTATGTCCCTTGTCTTAATTGGCATACCTTCACTTGGGGGACTTCTCCAGATATTAGAGCAGGAAGATGGAATGCAGTGGCGTGAACTGAAAAATCAGTTGGTTAACCGCACGTCAAATGTTACGGTCGTTGGTTCCCTTGTGACGGCGTATGTCCTGTGTCCTGATGTACCACTCTCCCCCTGTGCTTCCACTTACTCAAATGTAGAGCGGCTGTTTCGTTTGTGACAAGTAAAACCCCGTCGCCCATAACAGCCTGGGATGATTCGTTTCCGTACGTTTGCCTTTTGGCCGGTGGTCTGTGTTCCGCTTTGTGTGTTGTGAGTGGCCTTGGACTTGTTATGTTTTTGAATGCTGTGCAACCTCAGACTGTAAGAGTAAGTGTGCTATCCTTCCTCCCTCCCTCCCTCCCTCACTCTTATTGCTGATATCCGTGTGCTGCCAATGTCCGGTAATGATAGGAAATAAATACAAGCACATTCAAGCTTACAATTGTTGCTGTGTTGCTGGCGATGCCATTCTTCTGGCTGTTTACGGGCATACTTGTACCAATTATAGGAATGACTGTAGCTGTCTGGCTTGGTGACAACACTTTTGCGAAGGCGAGTGTAATAGTGGGCGTCATGGGTTTAATTTTGACCTTACTGGTGATTTTTGCTTCACTTTACTAAGTCTTATTTTATCATGATACACATAACTTTGCATTCCGTATCAGTAGCACGCAATGCAATGAGGCTGCATTCCACATGCGTCACTGCGAATGAGAAATTGGAGATGTCTGAAGTCACTGCGATCCCTGCCCAGTATGTACCCTTCAACTTATTAAACACAAGTCTGGACTTCTCCGTTAGTGAGCGAGCAGCTGGAGTCCAAATGGCCGTCCTTCGATAGGCAGGTTCTATACTTACTCACAAGAATTTACTCTCCCATCTAATGATGGCCCTGGTCAGCGACAGTAATCATCCTTCTGCTCAGGTTGGCTGTGTGCCCAAGATCCCGCTTCACCGTGCCCTTGGTTAGTAGTGATCACGAAAATCCCTTACATTGTCACCTCGAATCCTGACATCAACATATTGAGTCGCGTGCAAGGGAGTATGTAGGTGATGGATGGTAGCTTCCTAACGAGTAGTTGTGCGTTTCTCTTCAGAAGAAAGATGGCAATAGCTTACAAGCTTTCATACCGTCACCTGCGCCGTCCTGCAGGCATCCAGTCCCTCGGAGCGCAGCGTGCGTGGCAAAACAAGTGGTTAGTCTCAAGCGACACGCGCTTTACCTATGCAGCTGAGTTGAGAGTGGACAGTGCCATAATTCGACTGGTCGATGGACGCGTAAAGTACACAGTGAGTGAGTACGGTCACAGCGCAAAGCCATATTCAAATCCTTCATCGGTTCGAGAACTCCATATCTAGTAGTGGCGCTAGTATGCGTCGAATCTTCAAAATTACTCTTGCGTACCAAGAGATTTCCGCGCTCCACCATTGTCAGTCACGGGACAGACATGAATTTCATCATACATCTACTCACCTGCAGTTTGTGTAACGAGGATCGAACGACTTGGTCCCAAGCTTCTGCCTCTCCCTTAACTTTAACCCATCCCCAGCGATTTTCGAGAGAATCGCTATGGCGCTTGTAGGTAAGTTCGGGCTGTGCCTCCACACGGGCGCTGAATGCGGGAATCCCCTCAGACGTTGGATATTGGATTCCTCCAGTTCGCGAATGTAGGTTGGGGGGCTTCAGGAATGAACGAAGTGCATGAACGTAGGGCGCCTGGTGTTCCTGCGCAACAATGTGGCATCTGCATGGGATTCATACTAGGATCATAACATCTATTGTAATTTTGTTTTCCTTGCCCCACTCCACTGCCTTTTGCGGATACGTCCCACCGCGGGAATCAAGGTGGCAAGAACAGACTGCCTTAGTTTTAGGGCTGCGCTACTCAGGAACGTGGTGAGAACAATGTCGGCAAATAGCGAGCACGAGGGAGATGGGAGCACAGTAATATCTCGAGTGGATAGATCAGCACTGGGAAATTGATCTGATCGCAAAATTGCCGCAGTGGAGCAGGGTCATGGGCAAAAGAGACGTGAAGGCGGCCCCGAACGGCGGCACTAGTTCCGCAGGCCGGGCGATTGATTCTGCAACTCGTGCGCATGCTGTAGCTGGTAAGTGAATTGTAGTACGCGGAATGGGCAGTACGACTTGCAATCCACGATCACTCCCTGTGGTAGAAAGACAAGTGACGAAGAGACGGGACAGGCGGTAAGAAATATAATGATGCATGTGGTCAGAAAAGGAAGGTGACAGATGAACTTGAGAGCTGACCTCAATTGCTCGTAAAGTAGATGCAAGAGTACTTAGAAGCTAGGAGCTATCTCGCAGTCGCAAACGAGTACAACCCAATCACCAGAGGGAGGGTGCTTCCATTACCCGGTTTCTTAAGAAGTTACCACAATCACAAAAGGATAAGTGGGACAACCACACGACTGACCCAGGGAAACATTGCCTTCTGTGGTCAGAGAAGGAACAGTTCTATACTAGCATAGTTAACTATCTAGCAAGGGCCCCTATGGCCCGCCATTCCCCACAAGCGAGTAGATATCCTGGTGGCAGGGTCTTCAGCCCTCCACTAGTCCGCCGTTTCTGCAGGCAGTTTTCAGTGCGAAGCTGGGGAGTGCAAGTCATATAGAAGTACGGAACATGTGAGTCGATCGGATGGGGAGAGCAGGACGTGAGTGGCGATGATGTTTTGTTTTGAGATGTGCGAAGACCGTGCAGGTGGGATTGCTTAGCGAGAGGAGCAGCAAACTTGTCGTTAGCGCCTATTATTCTTCGAACGTGGGTAGCATAAGTGCACTTCTCTTAGATGCCTCAGCATGTTTTGGCGTCTGATCTTCTTTTGCTCCATTGGAAGACACCAACGACACACGATTTCGACATCCCGTGCCATGTTCTCGAGGCCATGGAAAGCAGCAAAATGATCCGCGCAGTAGTACGTAATAGGTATACCGCATTTTCTGGCCTCGCCATCCTGCCAGCCACAGGGTTTGTGTACATTACGATCGCAGACCACACGTGCTTTTCGCATTCCCCTCGGAGTTTGTTGCTGGGCGACAGCACAACCACGTGCATGACGCAGCGGCCCTGAAAGGTTCCTATCCTCAACGGAGGACAGGTGGTCATGTAAATGAAGCTCGCGGGGTAATGACGGAGATCGTTTTGGAGGCAGTGATGGCACGTGAACGCTCACAGCCTGCCAAGAGTTCCACTTGCTTTCATCAAAATTTCTATAGTTGTCTACCCCACTAGATGTCATCTCGGTTGTATCATCATCGAGGGTGTGTGTTGCGTGGTTGCCAGAGATGCGTGCGCTATGACCAGGGAGTGTGGGTAACAAGCCATCCCCGATGTGCGCTGCGCGATTGTCGAGGGTGCCCGTTGTGTGCAGCTCCATGTTGGTTTCACCACGAAATCTATGGAAACCCGGCAGAGCTGCGGGCGTCGCGAGGGGAGGGTGAAGAGACAGGGAGCATCCAATATGCTCTTGCGGTGACTGAGAGGTTGGGATCTGGTTGGGCACTAGAAAGGATGGATGGAACGAAATATGATCGTCGGTGGCAAAGTAAGAGGTTGATGTGGACTGCGATGGGGTTCGACGTGTGCAAGGGAAGGAGGTCTGGGGATGCGTTCTAAGGTACAGAATGAATTAGTCGGACAAGACGTATTGGATACGACCCACTGTTTGATCGGTTGCTTTGGAAAACTAAGGAGAATCTGCGCTGACGTCCTCACTCCTGTTCCGATCTGTTCTAGAGGTAGTGGAACGTTGTCGCTGGTGAGGTCACCTGACGGATGCACTTCCTGAACCGAGGGCGATAGCCGGCTCTGAAGCCCAGACCGCGGTGTATCTGAATCGATCACCTGGCTCGCAGGTCCAGCGGAGCCATGGTCTTGACCACCGAAGGTTGAAATGTCCACGTTTTTCTGTGGGTATGCTGACGATTGTCTTATGGCATATGGTGGTGGAAGACTTGTGTGCGGGAAGGAAAGTGTGGCACAGTGGTTCGTGACATGGCCGGGGGCGTGGTCCTGTATGTCCCAGCGCTGATTAACCGTAGGAGAAACCTTGATCTGGATGAGAACGTTTGCAGTAGTTGTCACATGTGGAACTTACGATAGACGATGCTCCGCTTTCGCCGGCAATATAGCCCAACGGTAATGTGACCTGCGCACTCTGGAAACGTGGTGAGAGGACAGCAAGATCGATGGAAAGTGGCTTACATCTTGTTCTCCGTTTAGATAGCCAACCGGACTGGAATCGGATACTGGAAACGGGCCAGGTATAGTCGGGCAGCTTTGCAACTGCAGTGCCTGCGAGTAACATGTTAGGACACCCGCGCTGAAAAGTGGAGACGGCTTGCAAACCTCGGAGATAGCGACGGCGCAATCATCGCTGGTACAAATAGTCAATGAGCGAGCAGAACCTGATGGAGGGATGACAGCTACCCTGTTGAGGACATGGGACATAGCGATTTCTGCACATCAATGGAGGTAAACTCATAGGCAGGTGCTGCGGCATAATGGCTGTGATTGAGAAAACAATCCTTTTGGAAAGCTAGGCTCTGAGAGTCTTGCACCGTCGATGTACTCGGCCGTGCATGATCCGGCAAAGGCAGAGTGAATGTTTTACTGTACATGGTGGTTTGCGCCCACAATGACGAGGACAGATCTGGCAGGACGAAAGGGAGGGAAAGGAAGGATCGGTATGCAGAACAAACCACCAGGATATATCCATATTTAAAAAAACGGCGAAAGTCAATGTGTATCTTTGACTGACGACGAAAGTGCTGAGACGGCGAACACGTGTGGCACTGTGGCTACACTCCACCGGCAAGCTAGGAACCAGCGCGCGCCCATCAACTGCGCAGAGGGGGACGAGTAAACTAATGACTCCGAACGGATCTTCCCGTACTTTCCTCGTTTTGGAGGGCCCATATTCGCTTTTCGCAATTCCCCAAAACAGGTCACAAGGCAGGTTGGGCCACTAACACCGACGACACGATGCTTATTATCAACAACATTGCGTTATATCGTCAACGCAATCTTGGGTCTATATGTCACTAAGTACCTTTTACAGCCACCAAGGCCCCAGAAGCAAGCTATGGATCACTTGGTGCATGCCAGGAATGACGCTGACATCCGACATTGGAGGTATGTATATATGATAAGATGTGTCCTGATCATTTTATTCATTTGGCCTACTGCTTGTTCACCTGAGTAAACACTTGGATTATTTTAGAGTTCGCACTATTTTGTTACTCCAAAATATTATATTCCAGTACCGGAGACTATCAGTATAGGATCTGGACGAGCGGAATCCTTGCGTCAATGCACAGATGGCATCACTTAAGAAATAGAAAGAAAAAAAAGAATTCCATGTGTAGCCGGATTTCTAGGAGCCTGTCATCGTGGCGGAGATGCATCAGGAACGCTGGGAATGAGTACACGTCCACAGAACGCAGGCGTGACCTATTGGCTATGACGCTGCATCTGTAACATTAAACAAACAAAAATAAAACAGCTGATTGCGCGACTTTTGCAGTGATGCGCAGAAAATTTGCAGGTGGCTGTGCCCACAGTCACTGACTAAGCAGGGCACGTGCACGGGGGAGCAAGTGAGTCAGGGCTACACGCACTCCTCGCCCGTTCCTCGGGACTCGTTTCGATGCTACTGTACATAACCCATGTAATAATGGGTATTTTGCCAAGAAACGGGCCCAAGTTCGCTAGGCCAGTGATGACTTGTGGCGCGGAGTGCGGTCACATGAATTTGCAGGTGGCGATGCCGTGGGAATTTCCCGAAGGAGCAATCCCGCCACCAGGCGGGAGGGGCGGGGAGGGGGTCGAGCGTTCGAGCGGGCCCTGTGGGGCATCACGGCCTCGTGGATTGGGTGGGATGACTGGGGAGGGTGCCGACGAACTGTGTTCACGTCCTGCCTACGTTTATCTATTTTATCTGCCCTCCTAGCTAGTGCAAAGTGGTACAAGGTGGCTGTGTTAAAAATTATGCAGGGGTAGTATAAAAAGTTGCGCAGGAGCAGTGCTGCAAAAGTCGCGCAATCAGCTGTTTTATTTTTGTTTGTTTAATGTTACAGATGCAGCGTCATAGTTCGCTGTCCAGGCCTCGCTCAAAAAGAATGGCGCGATTGATTTGTATGGTATACGATACCGTTTTGGATGGCATGTGGGTGCAGATGGGCCACAGGTCGACGTTCGCACTAAACAAAAACGGAAGGAGTAGGACACCTTGAATGGGTGTTCAGTCCATACCAAGGTCCGTGGCGTGCTCCACGACGGGAGGCTGACAGCCACGATGTGTATACCTACCTATATTCGACAGCTCCATCAGACCGTCAACATGCCTGACATATCAACACCTAGCGGACGGTAAGTTCTGCTACAGCAGCGATGTATATGGACAATATTACTGAGAAATGCCTGCACCTACTGCGTGCCTAGCAAACTGACAAAGGAAAATACGTACCACAAACCTTAAGACTGAAGGCGAAAACTCTGATGGCCTAACATGGATTGACGGAACACTTTACTGGGACGATAAAGTTCCTGATCTCACTTTCCATCCCTGCTTACTTGCTCAGGAGTATGAGGGCAGCACCTTTATTGTGAACAATGTTTCATCTCGGCCAACGAACAATCGGCGTTGCCGAGAGTCGTGTCATTTTAACTTCATACAGATCTCATGGGAAAGTGGCAAGCCAAGATCACACCGTGAAAGCATTGCTGTATTGGCTGTTTTGCATGAGAGAAGAACGGAATAATTCTTTGGGATCGGAGAAGACATACACGGGTTAGCAAGGGAGCCGCCAATAGACTACCAGCTTTGACGTTTTTGATCTTGTGTGGTGCCACAACATTCGGGCGCATGGCCATTTCAAGTAGGAAGTTTGTCTTCTCGGGGAGGGCACTACGGCACCTGGTAAGGGACCCGTTGTGAACACGTGCAAATGAAACCAAGACTTATGTAGCGTTTACGTACCAGTACCATCGAAGGGACAGGAAATGACGGAATCGTGGTCAGGACCAGTCAGTGACGGGTTTAAACAAGCTTAAACCATCTATTCGCTTCCTGATGACGTATCTAAACTTGCAGCTGGAGGTAGAAGGCAGACTGCCATTCAGGGGATTCGAGATGGCATGTTATCAATATTGTGGCTGGACCAAGCGTCGACTCGCACAGATCACACCTTGGACATGGCTTGTGCGGTTGTTCCACCTTAGGAATTTCACTTGACCGGTGAGATCTTGAGAACCCGAAGCACCACCTTTCAGTTTCAGTTGACAATCAGTGACCCTTCATACTAACTATTTATGTATAATAGCTTTCACCGAGATGATGCTGGAAGGTTCTGTAGGTTCTAAGTTAAATCAACTCTTGCTGTAGCTGACATACCCCGCCGCGAAAGTTTTTCTAATGTCACTATACCCAGCGAAGGATCTTGCGAAGTCCAATGTCTACCTCACTCGGATTATTCGAGTTAGAAAAGGCAGGATATGAACAGCAGGTACGCTATAATACACGGATGACCCTTGTGGTCGACAGCGGGGGATACAACACGATGAAAGAACACAAAGCAGAAGACGAACACAATGAGCGTGGAATAATGGCACACGCAAGACAAGCAATGAAAGGTAAGATAAGGATATGAGGAGGCATCCACGGAGGGGGGGGGGGATGGACATCACATAAACGCGAGTGAGACCGATTGCAGGACAAGCGCCACGCAGGTGATGTGGCCCATCAGATAGTACAGCGGCTCGCGAGGGAAAACGGTTTCGAAATCTTGGTTGCGCGAGCAAGCAACAACAATCACGGAAAGGAAGTGGTCCGAGGGTTACCGCACCCTATGTGATCACAGGAGAGGGGGAGAACTGTTCCTGACGTTTTAAAAGGTGCGCGAGTCTTTTGTTTTTCGAACGCTGGTACTTCATGTGTGCCTCCCTCACGTGTCTGATGAAACCTTTTCGGTTCATTTCTTTTTGCACGCCTAGAGGACACCAACGGCATCGGACCCTGGCTTCCGATGACATGTTCGTGATGCCATGTGCAGTAGCGAAATGACTTTCGCAGTGGTAACTAATTGGCTTGTTGCAAACCATCCCATCCGGCTTAATCCAGCCACAGGCTATGCGAGCCTGACGTACCCCTGTCGTCTTCTCATAAGGACGGTCTGCCGTTTGCGGTCCCGAAGGCACTGTACAGTTCCTGCCACCAGCATGGGGTAAGCGTTCGAATGTATGCAGTTCGCAGAGAGACGCAGATATGTCTGAGTTCAGATGACGATAAGACTGAGTCGTTGCCTTCACTCTCCCATAATCGTCAACACGGCCAGAGGTCATGTTCATGGCGGGGTCGTGGATGATACCTGTCGCCATCGTATTCGTGGTTATACCAACACAGGAACCGAAAGAAATTGACGGCTCCGTGCATGTTTGGATGTTCTCACTACCCAAGTAGTCTGAGGGAAACAGCTCCCCAGTTGCAGGTATAATCGGGTTTGTAGGCGCCCACCGCGGTATCCCCGACTCAATTACCGGGCCTAATGCACTACCGCTCCAGGTTGCTCCCTCACGATCCTCCGCCCAGCTATCAAACTGGAGTGAAGTGTGATCACAAAAAAGGGGAGTGGAGATCGGGCCCATCGTAGGTCCCGCGGAGGCATGGTAAGCGAATAGTGGCACCTCACACTCTGGAATGTTTTCGTTGCCCCGCGAGTACCCCATCGAGCGTCCCGTTGTGCGCGACGACGGAGTGGCGTTGGGTGGTGGTAAAAGTGAAGCATCAGAGTGTGCTATATGACTAGAGGGGTGGTACTGCGCGTCCCAGTGGTCATGAGACGGTGTAGGATTAAAGCAGGGTATAGTAGGGCCCTCACCGCGACGTAGTCCGCCTGGAAGGGTATATGAGCCTGAACGATTGGGATCGCGACGGAGCGCTGGTGCAGAGGAACGGGGTGACCCTTGATCTGCGTTAATAGCGCTGCATGGCGGTGACGGCGCTAACTCACAGTGCGATGACCACCGTGTTCCTGGGGGGGAGTTTGCGATGATAAGAGAGGATGGTCATCGTAGATCGGAGCCTCAGTCGTCTGTGCTGGAGTGCGAGCATGAGGGACCGAGGGAAAAGCCTTGAACCGAGTTAGGACTCTTAAGTTACTAGAGGCGTGTGAAGCTTATAGTAGGTACTTCATTGTCCAAGGGTGATGCAACCCGCGCATTCTGCAAACGCCATGAATACGAAGATGTCGGATTAAATGAAATACGCTTGCATTTTGATATCTAATTAGATGATTAACACGGGTATTTGTGATGTCCAAATTGCGGTATAGGAATGGAGTGGGCAGTATCGGATAGCTTGGCAACTGCAGCCTTCGCTGGCGAGGTGTTAAGAAATCCACGTTGGAAGTGATTGGGGACGGTAGGCGAGCCTCGGAGGCAAGGGAAGTACAACCATCGCTGAAGTGGAGAATGAGGGTGAGTTGGCAGAACCCGATGGTGAGATGTCGCTTGCCGTGAAGACAGGGTGTATTCTAGTTCTTGGACTTCAATGTCCTCAGAGCCATACGAGGGTGCTGTACCATGATGTGTGTGATCCAGATGACAACCTTGTGCATGGGGTGGACTATGAGAGGGCAGTACGGATGACGTCCTCAATATCGTAAGTGAATCGAGTAGTAAAGAGAACGGCTTGCTTTCCATGGTTTTGCAGGGCCGATGAGAGCGAGGAAGGACAGAGAATGTGAAGGTATGTGGAACAAAAGACGTTTGAGTCGCCGCCGCATTTAAGAATGCAACGGTAGCTAGACAAGTCCACCTTGCTAAAACCCAGAGATCGCCCAGAGAAGGTCAAAGCAACACCTTGCTGTTGGCCAGCGGACCAATGATCGCTGACCCGAAGCAACGGCATCTGGAGGGCAGATGCTGACAGCCTACATAACTGAATTTATTACTGACATAGCTTCATCGAGAAACGAGATCCAATTGTGTAGTCCATCGAGTCTCGTTTTCTGACACGGGGCAGGTATCCAGTCCGACTTTCCTGATTTGAAGTAGTGCGGAGGCATGATTTGGGTGGAACGTTACTTGATCCTTAGTAATTTAGAGTCCGATGGTGGCTGTCAGCCAGGTTCCTTCCCACCCCTGCTTCGAGTTGGAGGGCGGCTTATGTATCACGAGCGGGGACAGCTCCTGACAAGTGTTGCCGTGCGATCTATTTTTCAGCCACCACGGGACCCTGAGGGAGGTCCCTCCGTCCGAAGCGGAGATCATATCTTTGAGTGGGGCTGATCGAGATCACGCGCACGACCGATCGCAAATCAGAATGCCTCACATTGAACAGATTTTTGGGAATTTGAGTCGACATTTATATAACGTGATGAAATATAATCATTAAGTATGGCTCCGAACCAAAATTTCAAGTTTTGTTTCATTTTACAGGTTAAACTTGAGGTTTAGTCGACCTGACCACACTTTGTACTTCATTTCAAGTCTTGTCCTACATATAAGCCCAGGTAAAGTGCCAATAAATCTGTTATGTCAAAAAGGCACGCGCGATAAGCCTTTGCCGTGTTATTACAGTAAGGTTAGGTCTCGAAATTCCGAACCCCCGGCCATCCTTGCTGAAGGGTCAAATGACGTCATCCCACAAGTGTGTAGGTGTGTATTTCACCAATGACATCTTTCAAACTCAGCCGAACTCGGTGAGTGTTTTCATAACAAGGGCATTTTCCCCTTCTACATACATGACAGAGTCTCGTGGCTTTCACACTCTTGGATACTTCAGCTAGTAGTAGTGAATAGGCCTATCTGTTTGTTTGTCTATCTTTCTGTCTGTTTCTACTGCGTCAGATTATTCAAAGTCAGGAAAATTATGAAGTGATGGGAAATGCAGCACGATGAAAGAAACTACAATACACGACAAATCTATGATGGATACTGTAACTGACGGGGAGATGTGCAGCAACAGTGATGCGAGAAACCAAGCGGGTGGGTGAAATGCGACAATGGTATACATGGAGAGTGGGTGAGGGATGGATATACTCAAGTACCAGTAAGCGCCAGTTTCGACTACCTGTGCATCACGCATGCGCGTGAAGATGATCTCGCCCATCGATCAGTGCAAAAGATGGTGTAGGGCGCGTTTGCGATCTTGTTTGTTAAGCCAGTCACCAAGACCGTTACAGAGGAGAAAGTGGCAAAGCGGTGCGTGCGACCAACAGATGGCGCCATATGTGATCACTAAAGAGGAGGAGCGAGGTCGTCAGTGTCGGTAAAACATTTTATGATTCCCTTTCTCGATCGGGGGCAGCACAAATGTGCTTCCCTCAGGTGCCTGAGTATGTTTTTTCGAGTGACCTTCTTTTCCGTACTTAGGGCACACCACCGGCAGAGCACTTCGACCTTTGCCGCTATGTTCTTGATTTCATGGACGGCGGCAAAATGCTCTGCACAATTGTTGTATGTGACGGGTGCACCACACGGTCTGCCATCTTCATTCTGCCAGCCACAGCGTGTGGGTACGTTCCGATCCGTGAGTGGGCGCACAGCGGACGGTTTTATCCGGCTCCGGGATTGGATCTTGACAGAATGACCTGCACGACGGGTGGAGATTGTCTCGCTAACACATGGAATTCCCTTCATTTTCGTCCGATGACGAGCTCTGGTACGACCACTAGCTTGACTTGCTTCAACCCGGTTGATCATAATTCCAGAAGGAAGATAATCTGCCACTGGCGGCCCGGTGGGTGTTGGAAGGTTGTCGTTTCCAACGCCAGAGGGGTTGTCATGCGTACAGAACTCGCTCGGCGATGGTAGGGGTGAATTCGGGAACAGTGGTATCGATGCTGATGCATGTAAGTTTACAACCTGGGCATTCGAGTTGGATTGAGATAGGGTTGGAAGCGTGCGAGGAAGGACTGTGGGACACGATGGGTGTGGGTGCGAATCTAAGATCGCGGAAGTGGGTTAGTCGAACATGGCATAAGTGGCGAGTGACTCACTTTTATCTCTTGGCTTGAAGGTAGATAAGGCTTTCTTGCAGACCAAGTTGAACTTGCCGCCAATTCCACAGGCGCTGGAATGATCTCACTGTCCAGATGGTCCGAAGGATAAGGACCTTGAAGTAGCGGCACAACCGGTTTTGAAGACGCCAACCATGATACATTTGAGGTGGGCGAAAAGAGAACTGTGGATGCCAGGCCCGTCGAAAGTCCAGTGGTGGCATGATGAGCGAAGGGCGACTTGCCAAACTTTGAAACGTTCCCGTTCTCCCACGGGGATCCTAATGAGTATTCTACTACATTGGGTAACATAATACTGGTGTTTGGTGATGAAAGTGCAATGCCAGAGTATGCGGCATCGCCGGAGGTGCATCCCTGTGCATCCCCGTCGTAATGGGGCGTTTTGGTACTAACAAGTAGCGTGTCATGGTGGTAGTTCTGGGAAGGAATGTGGGCTTGAGTAATTGGAACAGGAGCGATACGGTGAAGCAGCTGAACGTGTTGACCCTTGATCTGCGTTACAACATGAGTCCCGACATATGTAGCTGTGCCGGAAAGTCGGCTTACGATGGATAACCTCCCATCTTCGTCAGCGTAAGATGTTGAAACGGGGTAGTTCGCTTGTGCATATTGACCACTCCAAGCCGTATCTTGGTACCTCAGTGTTGAGGTCGGAGCCTGATTGAGCGACGGAGAAACCTTCATCTGGATGAGGACCCTCGGCTGACTGGACACCCGCAAAGCTTACGATAGATAATGCGCCAGTTTCAGCGACATGGTCCAAAGGTATTTCGGCCCGCGGTGTCTACGGATGGAATGAGAGGACGACGAAATCGATAGAAAGCGACTTACACCCCGCAGATAGTCAACTTGAGGTTGTTTGATGGCATAGCCATGGCTGGCTATCGCACCATAATGCATGTGGTTCAGGTGATAGTCCTGTTGAAGACATAGGTGCTGAGGGAGTCGTGTGGTTGACCCACTTGACATTGCGTGAGAGGGGGTTACCGGCGAGGAAGAGGGAGTAATGCGGTGCATGTTCGATTGAACCCACGACGAGGAACAGTCTGGATAGAACGAGATATGGAAAGGGGTGAAGCTAGTTCCTTTATTACCTGTATTTATCGCTATGTGGAGCAGGGGTCAAGTGGGGGTGTCAGAGTTCCAACAGCGGTAAAAGTGCAGATAGTTCTGAGGTGCCTACCCGGATGCTCCACGACATGTACGTATGTCCAACGGATCACTGTACCGGTGCCTGGGCGGATAAGTTATCCGACACTCTCGAGATAATGATTTATGAATTAGGCATGTGGTGGCGCCTGGTGGGCGGCACAAAGTCCAACGTTCCAGAAAGAGGATGCACGTGTTTCGCAGCTTCACTTGAAAAGGAATCCGAGTATGGCATGAAGGAAGGAGGGTTGGAGGGCGGAAATGCATTAGTACATAGTTCTGATGTGTTGTTAAACTTTACATGACATCGCAGTGTACATAGATCAAGGGAAAGGCAGTCGATAAGTGCGGGGTCGAGGTGGTGGAGGGAAAAAAGTGCCTTTTGTGGCTATACTTGGGAAAGGGCAAATTGCGGTATCGTCGGCGTTGAGGTGGTAAAGGTGACTGAAACGCTTTCAACGAGTAGCCTTGCCCCTGGTGTTTCCAAAGCACGCACTACAAGTTTAGTAGGTCGAACAGTGTGAGATCAACCCGTCATCACGCCGTGTTTCGAAAGGAGGCAACGAAGGAAACTCACATGACTTCACGCATCTTCCCAGAAACGACTGTGCACGCCAGATGATAATAACAGTCTGCAGAGTGATATCCATCGCTTTGCAATCTCCAAACCGACCGGAGGACTCTTCAGTGATCGACGGGATGTTAGCGTACTACCCGCTCGCAACCATGGTGTACTGCATCCGCCAGTGCCATTGTACATGAGAGGCAACCACGCACCCAGGAAAATGGCTCGTCTACCTGTTGAACCTCTCCCGACACATGCGGGGACTTGACGCGAGGTTTGGAGTGCCACGGGACTCCCGGAGGATGTATTTGGCAACGGAGGGGGCGGGCAAATTGAAAACACAAAGTACAAGGTTTGCTTCCGCCAGCCTCAGATCGGTCTCACAAAACTTACTTCAATGAGCTCACTTCAACGTTGGGAAAAGGAGCATGTCGCCGCATAGTTATGACGGTGTCCACTTCGTGCGTATGCACTACGGCGTCAGACAATGTGCGGTTTACAAAGACACAGAATACGGTGGATATAAATAAGTAATGAGTAACATGACAGAAGACTTGTCCACCTCGCTCTTTGCCAGGGTTGTAAAGGATGGATGTGAGTCAGTAGACCAGAGCAAGGCAGTATCCAAGATCTAATCCCTCATCTGAGCTTATCTCGATGATTGGGAGTGCTAAGCACAATCTGGCAACACGTATGCTGCGCTTCTTGGACAGCAAGACCGCACGAAGGACCCAGTCATGAATAGGAACCTGTAATGCCTCGCAATGAACCATTTCCCTCGTATCTCGGGTCCCCAGGACCTTCTGCCGCAGGATAAATAGAAACCGAGGTGCCTGACGGTGGTCTGATTACCAGACTAACCATAAGGGACCCAGTCCGTGAGTGCAAAAGTGGCTAAACTTAGCAGAGGCAACAAATACATGAGCCTGGCACGTTCGTTGGATGGTTTCTAATCCAGAAGACATCCCGCAGCATCACACCACTCCACGACGGGAATATTGGTTTGTGACTGGGGTGTCTAAATCGTTCACTCAGTTCACAGCCCCACGCCACCAACCAGCTTTTTCCTCCCCCAGAGTCCCAAAACAGACGCGATCTTGATTGTGCGTCGGGGAAGGGAAGGCATGACCTTTGAAAGATGGGGATGCATCAGACCATCGTAGAAGATTTCTAGGCACCCAACGCGCCGTGGCGTGCGCTTCATTACACAGGGTATAGTGCTGATAATACGGGCAACTATATGATTTGTCAACGAATCTTCCATACTACCTATAAACGATGATCAAAGGGCGCGTAGATGCTTCCGGAAACTGAGCAAGCGTACATCTTTCCACGACTTCTCGAGGAATAACGATCGTCCGCGGCTTGTCCACCCCACCTTCTTCACGGGCCAATCCGTTCTTGACTAATTCCTGAGGAACCAACTCTGAAGATCCCTAACTGTGCCCCAAATAGAACGCCAAATGTAATCAGCGATGGCACGCACGATGGCCGAAACACACGTGTTGTAGCACCTATCGGTCTCCACCTTAGAAGAGTATACAAGGGAATCTGGATCAGTTGACACGGACATCGTGTATAACGAGCGAATATGTGACACTGTTTTGTGTGGATGGCATGCACTACGGACAAGCTTGACATCTAAAGCGTACCCCTTCTTATGTGAGAGTGCAATCAAACGAGCAAGGTGGGTTGGGGTCCTGTCGGTGGTAAAGTATTCAGCCTATTGCAAGTTGTCTAATTCCGTGGCTCACCTCCGAAGATAGGCTTGATGCGTCACATAAACTAAGGGTTATAGTTCTGCGACCCGCGGGAACTCGGGCCAGAGAATGATCACCTTGTCCAGACATTCTCCTCAAGAAGTTAGTTGAATTATTCCATCAGTGCGTGACTGAAGGCAAATACCGGCGGCTGATACCAGTTGCTGACGCACATATTAGTGCCGTCGTTCAGGCTATCAGGAAGTCAAGTATACTCCGCGTCGATCACAATCTTGATTCTTCGCTCCTTCGCAGGCAAACAGATTCTTCCCAGATTAGCGTGCAGTTCTTGTAGATCTCGAACGTCTTCCTCCATCAAGGGAGACCCCGAGTGGCGACAAGGTTGCCTATCTAGGACAGCAAGATCTGATGAATCTGGAGTACCGGGAAATAGCACGGGATCTGATAATTCTGGTCGCGTGTGAACAAGGTGCAGGGAGAAGTTGCGAAGCGACTCAGCACGAGGGAGAAGCATGGGCTATGATGACCAAAAACAGTGCGTCAGTTACATGCATATTTCCCTGCCCCAGAAAACTACCTACGAGCTTCACGGCAATCCACGTTCCACGCCCTTCAATTCCTGACTCGTTGGCAAGACGATCTTCAAAGTTTCCCATCGTATCAATGCTTTGGATAATCCCTTCTACGGTATGTTTGTGAATGGGTTGTTCTGAACTCGAGGCATCTCCGTGTGACCGCTGACCTCTGGTAGTACCGTGAGCGGTGCCTGCCGTTGCTACACTCTCGTCGACTTCTGCGCTGTACCCCAACGGCATAACTTTATTTTTGTTTCGTGGACGTTGAATGAGTGGCAAGATATCCTGTACTGTCACTCTGCCCACGTACTATCAGACCGGACACAAAGATGGAATGATGGGTAAACACACCATCAAAGCATCGAGCACGGTACACGCACGACGTACCCGCGCGAAGAAAGTCCTGCGTAGGATGGTCTCTACCTCACGCCCTACCGAAGGAACCCGAAGCAGGTGGTCAAGGACCTGTAAGAGCATGGTCCACAAGGAAGGGTATCGAAATGAGACTACACGACGTATGAGCGTAGAAGGAGAATAAAGACCGTGGACTTCGTTTTGGCTATCGGAATCGGCGTTTCTGGTGATGAACCAGGGTAGAAGGGAAGGCCGAGTGACAGGTCAGGGTATGACTTTGCGTCTGCCCACAAATTGAACGCAGCTGAGCTAGATATGTCACCAGTAGAAAGCAACATTCGTCGATTGCAGATGTATTCCCACCGCAATGAAGGCGGTAACGGGTGAGATAGGCGAGAGCCTACAATTGATCGACGACAGGTGTTATCGTGGAATACTAATCCTATGTAGAGAGAGAAACACGCCACATCGTAGAACACACATCGTGAAGATGCTGCAGAGTATTGGTGTGAGCAGGTCTAGTAGTGGGCGCAAAGGAACGGGATGTGGGCGTACTTTTAAATATGCCCAAACGCAAGTTCCTTCCGACTGCAAGTGACCCGAACATCCAGGAACGAGGTCGGGCAGCGGTGGGTCATAGCAATTCCGAACCACGGTGTGCTTCACGATACCCGCTATAAAAATGACTGTCAGAGCTGAGTCAGCGCCCCACAGCGTTGATCGGGCCACCCATCACGCAATACGTCGGAGTTTTCCGGCTAGCCACCTCTAGTGCACGAGGGCAGTCACCACCAGGATCAAGGGGCAAATGTCAGGTCAGCCAGTAGTAGACTTTGCTAGGTGAGTGATCTTCTGGACAGGACATCTCCAACACCATATCGAGCTCTTTCCGGGGCTGTTGAACCTTGGCTCAATAGTACATGCCAAGTTCTCTCCCGTCACCACGACCGCCAGTTTTTTTTGGTATAGACATCAAACGTTATACTCACGTCTGCTCGGTTGTGGATCGCATAGCCTGTTTAGATTGAGCTTGATGAGTGGAGCCTCCGGTGCAACATCTCCCTTCGTTGTACTTCATTGACCGGCTATTCTCGGAACTTGGAAAGTGACCGTCACCGTGGTACAGCAAAGGTAAGTCGTAGGTGTGCCTTTGAACAAGTCCCGATTCCCGATCTCTCCTGTGCTGTTGTTTCCTTTAGGTTGTAGATATCCTTCGACAGGCTGAGGTGAACTGTGCCGTGGTCATGTGCTGATCCATATCTTCATCTTATCAGTAGGCACTCGATGATGACGGTGGTCACGGGCGAAACCCTTTCCTTGAAATTCAAGATACACCCTATCCAAGCCACTAAAATTTGTGTTGGCTCAATGCTTAGCATCTACTGGGCCTTAAGGTGGTTGATTTTGCTTAGGTGTCTCTTTTACCTCTTTTGGACGCGGACGGTTGACACCCGCCTGATCGTTTGTACATGACATGATTCCCTCGGATGCAACATTCGTATCTCGTTCTGGCTTTTTGGTCATGCGCCGAGAAACGCAGACATGACCTAGACTTCGTGAGTGATTATATCCCGACTCTCGATCTTTACGTCATTAGCAATGTTGTGGGCCCCAATTCTCATCGAGTAAGTCACCGTTTCCAACTTTCACCGCGTTCTCACACGCTGCACTGTACTGGGAGTGTTCTTGTGTATTGACGCCAATGGCTAGGCACGTGCCAGTGCGTTCGTTTTGATCGTGAGAGGGAAGTTTGATCAATACTGTCGGAGGACATTTTCCACTCTCTACTAATACTATGCGTGAGAAGTCCGTTGAGATCCAACTCTAAATCAATTGGTACAAGATAAGAACATAACCGGTACACAACGTCCGTGAGGGACTTGTCTGACTCGAGGGCATCTCCGCTTTACTACCCTATCCGGCCGAGGAAATTGCATCTTATATGATCACTGGTAACTTCTTCCTTTCCGAGGTGCGTGAGCCTCTCTTTTCTTTGGACACTAGTACCTCATATGCGCTTCCCTTATATTCCGAACGAAACCTTTTCGTTTCACCTCTCTTCACGCACTTACAGGGCACCAACGGCACACGACTCTGACAACTGATGCCGATTTCGTGGTGCCGTGTGCAGTGGCGAAATGACCTTCGCAACGGGAATAAATTGGCTTTTTACAGGCAATTCCATCGGGATTGATCCAACCGCAGGCAATGGATGTGATTGCGAAGTTGAGGTACATCGGTCGTCTTCTCATAAGGATGGTCTGCCTCTAGCGACGCCAGAGGTTTTGCGAAGCTCCCGCTGCCAGCGTGGGATAAGTGTTTGAACGTATGCGACTCGTAGGGTGATGGAGCTTCGTCTGAGATTGAGGGCAGTGGTGACGTATTCGTAACAGTCTACATGGAAACTGCGATAAAATCTGTGGACGTCTGGATGTTCGCGACCAGAGTAGTCTGGGAGATACTGCTCATGAGATGCAGGCATGGCCGGGTTTGATGACGACGACCACGATACCTCTGAGTCAATCACCTACCACGGGGAGTATCCTAATAAGTGTCTCATCGCATGGTGCGACCATCAACAGGTGGTCGGAGGTGATAAAAACGGAAGATCGAAGCGTGGGGCATGATCAGAAGTCATGGGGCGGTGGTTATTCCTAACTGGAACGTCATCCATCGCACCCGTTCAGGTGGTCTTGGACCGTCTGCGAGCTTTGGATACGATAGTTGAGCAGCCATCCCTGAAGTAGAGCGCGGAGGTAAGTTGCAAGCACTCGTTACAGGAATATGATCCATTCAGGTTGCTCATCCTCGAATGGGCGTCCTTCAATTGGCAGAATTTACTCTCCAAACTACCGACGGCCTTGGTGAGCGACAGTAAGCTAGAAAGTACAAAGCGAACGGGTACGGACGTAGCACAAAGCTACGTCCAAATCATTCATCAGTTTGGGGAATCCATATCCAATAGCGTCGCCGGTGTACGCCGAAGCCTCAAAATTACTCTCGTGTACCAAGAGATTTTCGCATTCCACGACCGTCAGACACCCGAACAGGCATGAATTTTATCATGCGCCCACTCACTTGTGGGTTTTGTGACCAGTTTCGACTGACTTAATGCCAAGCTTCGGCCCGTCTCCCTTAATTTTATCACATCCCCAGCGATATCATCACCATGCTTGCAGGTGAGTTAGGGATGTGCCTCTGTACGAGCACTGAAGTTGGGAATCCACTTAGATATTGGATGCCGGAATCCTCCAGTTCGCGAACGTGGGTTGGGGTATGTGTTGATAGGTCGTGTTGAGACTGATCGCTTCCGTGTACTGAACCCTGCCTGATTAGAGTCTTCGTCTAGGATCGGGTGGCATTGAACACTGACAGGGCTTCACTGCGGAAAATACGTCTCCTGCTGCTCTCTGTGCTTACCTTCCAATCAACCATAATTGAATCTCCGTTCGGTTCTTCCAACTCAACGAGGACGCTATCAGAGGTATCTGTTATGAAGTAGGCATGAATGGGTCGATCTAACTTTTCTGTGGTGAGATACTTTAAGTGTGATATTTGCATTATGCTCTGGCTCCTTTATCAGCCACTCGAATTGGGAACTAGAAGTAAGACCTCAGCCTCAGGATAACGCTGGACTGCGAATTTTTGGCTAATTGATGCGACTCTAACCTGTAATTCTTGTTTCCTTAACCTTCTTGACCGTCGACCCACACCGCACCGAGCGGTTTTCTAATATGCAAAGTTGTGGGGGCTCAACCAGCCCACGGATCAATATTTGCCTCTTCGAGCTTACTAGCCACATCAAGGGGGTTGGTTCAAAATCAAAACTAGACGGCGAGTCATACGGAGCGCCCAAAAGACATGTGGTGGGGGCTGCAGGGTTACAGGCAAGTGTTGGATCTGCGTAGATAGAGTTACACGACTAGCGGAAGTACTAAACCAGCCTCACTGCAAAGGCGGAGCGTCTAAAACATCCGGCGGGAACGGCAGACTAATGGGGAGCCACAGGCTCTGCCATTAGGGCATTCGCTCGCTGGTAAGGCATGATAGGCCATAGGGGGCCTGTGCTAGGCCATTAACTACAATAGAATAGTGCAACATAAGGAAGTCACTCCCTCACGCACTTTGATCCAGAGTTTTTTTAAAAAAGGCGAGTGTTCTACGCCTGGGATCATATGCCAGATTGAAAAGTAGGTATGTTCTGACAGGTGTTGGCCAGTCAGTTTCCCACGGCTCTGGCCTGTAGGAAATTTTCGGCGATGCGATAGCTGCACTCAACTGGTTGGCAGATTTCGATCTTCTCCTTTTCCATTATTAGTCAGAGGGGGACTGGGGGGGTTCAGGAATGAATGAGATTCATTTCTGGAGAGCGCCAGGTCGTTCCTGCGAAACAATGTGGCAATCGCATGGGATTCACACCGGGACCACAACATCTATTGTGATTCCCCCCCCCCTCCCCCCTTTTCTCTACACCACTAGCTTCGGCGGATGGTCCCACCGCGGGAATTAAAGTGACAAGAACAGGTTGTGTTGGTTTTAGGGCTGCGCCGCTCAGCAATATGGTAAGAACAATGTTGTCAAATTGCGAACATGAGGGAGTTTGGGAGGGCAGCGATAATCTCAAGTGGATGAGTCAATATTGGGAAATTGACCTGATCGCAAAATTAGCAGCAGTGGAGTAGGGTCATAGACAAGAGAGGCGTGAAAGCGGCCCCGAACGGCGGCGCTAGTTCGGCAGGCTGGGACGACTGATGCAGCAACACGGGTGTTTTTCTCTTCATGTAAAGGCGCGCATGCTGTAGTTAGTGATGAATGAATTGTAGTATGGGGAATGGGCAGTGAGACTTGCGGTCCACAATCACTCGCTGTGCCAAACCATTCGAGGCAGGAAACACAACACAATACAGTCGCTATAGTGGGACAGGGAGATCCCGGTAGCAAGACAAGTGATGGAGAGACAAAACAGGTGGTGGGGAATATAATGATGCTTGTAGTCAGAAAAGGTAGGTAATAAATGAACTGCTGAGCTGACTTCGCAAAATAGACGTAAGAGTAGAAGCCACTTGGTAGCTGCATACCAGTACAACCCAATTGTTAGTAAGTTACCACAGTCACAGAAGCGTAAGTAGGACAATTGTAGGCCGGAGAGGCATGACCCAGGGAAAAAATTCCCTGGTGTCGTCAGTGGAGAATCGCAAATTTGCCGTTAGCGTTTGGTGTCCGTCGCGCGTGGGTAGCCTAAATGCACTTCTCTCAAGTGCCTCAGCATGTTGTTGCGTATGACCTTCCTTTGTTTCTTTGTAGGGCACCAGCGGCAGATGATTTCGATGTCTCGTGCTATGTTCTTGAGGCCATGAACTGCGGCAAAATGGTTTGCACAATCGTGCGTTACAGGCGCACCGCATTTCGTGCCATTGTCATACCGCCAGCCACAGGGTTTGGATACACTGCGATCGCAAACCAAGCGTGTCTTGGGCAGTCTCCTCGTGGTTCGTGGCCCTGAAAGGTCCCCCACCCTCATCCTCAATACGAGACAAGTGGTTCAGCGGATGAGGCTCGCGGAGTAACGGCAGGAATTTTTTGGCAGGCAGCGACTGACTGCATGTATAAGCCGATCGAACTACATTCGCTTCTGTCAACTTTCCTATAATTGGCTATCCCACCCGAGATCGGACCTGCACTGTGATCGGGGAGAGTAGGTAACGGGTGATCGCTGAGGGTGTATGCTGCGCGATTGTCGAAAGTGCTTGTTTCATGCAGTTCCATCCTGCTTCCAGCACGGAATTCACGAAGGCCTGGAAGATCTGTGGGCATCGTAAGGTGAGGTTGAACGGGGAGGGGGTTTCCAAAATGCCCTTGCGGGTACTGAGAGGATGGAATCTGGTTGGACACCAGAGAGGAGGGATAGAACGAGATGTGATCGTGAGCGATGAAGCAAGAGCTTGAGACTGACTGCGATGAGGTTGGACTTGTGTAAGAACTACGGGTCGGGAGGTGTGTTCTAGGAACGAATTAGTCGCACAAGACGTATCAGAAAGACGACGCACCGATCGATCGGTTGCCTTGGAAAATTCAAGAGAAACTGACCTGGTGATGCCATCTCTGTTCGGGCTTGTTCGAGACGCAGTCGAACGTTGTCGTTGAAGTCATTTGACAGATACTGTTCCGGAAGCAAGGACGATAGCCGGCTTGAAAGCCCTGACGCATTTGAGTCGAACACCTGGCCTGCGGTGTGATCATGAAAGGCGGGTATAGAGCTCAGGCCCATCATAGGTCCAACGGAATCATGGTATAGATCCCCAAATATCGAAACATCCACGTTTGTCTGCAGAAATCCTGACGACTGTGCTATAATATAGGGTAGTGGAAGACTTGTGCGCGGGAAGGAAGGTGTGGCATTGTGGTCCATAACATGACCGGAGGTGTGGTCCTGCATGTTCCAGCCCTGATTGACAGCAGGTGAGACCTTGACCTGGATGAGGAGAATAAGAGTACATGTCATGCGACTTACGATAGATGATGTTCCATTTTCGCCAGTAATATACTCCAACGGTAATGTGGCCTGTGCACTCTGAGAATGCGATGAGAGACGCGAGGCCACTGGAAAGCAGCTTACATCCCGTTCTCCGTTTAGATGGGCAGCTAGACTCAAGTCGGGCACTAGAAGCGGGGCAGACATAGTCGGACAACCTGGCAACTGCAGTGCCCGCGAACGTGTCAGGACACCGCAGTAAAAGTAGAGACAATTTGCAGACCTCGGAGATCGAGACAGCACGATCATCGCTAGAACGCAAAGTGAGTCAGCAGAATTTGACGCAGGAATGACAGTCACCACGTCAATGGAATGAAATATTGTGGTTCCTGCTCATCAATGGTGGAAAACCCATAGCCTGGCGCTGCACCATAATGCCTGTGGCCGAGATGACAATCCTTCCGGAATGTCAAGCCCTGAGACTGTTGTTCTGTTGATATGCTCAACGGTGCATGATCCGGTGTGAATGTTTTGTGGTACATGGTAGTTTTCTCCCACAATGACAAGGACAGATCAAACCGAACGGAAGGAAAGGAGGGGATCAAACCAAACGACCAGAATTGATCCATATTTAAGAATGAGAGAAATCAAAGCGTGTCTTTGACCGACGATGAAAGTGTTGAGATGGTGAACACGTGGCCACACTCCGGTTGACGAGCTAGGAACCAGCAAGAGCAATGGTCCGTGCCTACTGACTGCGCAGAGAGAATGGAGGGTTGCATTTGTTTGAGGATAGTGACTTACATGAGTAGACGATCTCATCACATAAATATTTGATTTAGGAAGCACTGATTGTGGCAGATATGGATTGAGGGCAACCTGCGGCGAGGCCTTGAGACAAAGCATGAAAGAGGAGGGAGTACTCGGCATGTGTCTTGGAAGGGAGGGCTCGTGAAGAGGCAGTGGTATCAAACGCTGGACGCCCGCAATGATCAGATCACTTACTCATCTGTTTGGCATCCACCCAACGCGCTTCACAATCCGCTTCACAATCCGCTTCACACCTTCCCCAATACGGATACCTGCACTTCTATGAGCGTCAGTTCATGGATTTCAAGGCAGATAATCGCCAAGGCTCTGGAGCAGAGAAACCTGCTGTGCGAAAAATAAGACGTGAGCCGAGCCGAGTATCCGAAGTCGGTGTGAGGGACTCGGAGCACAACTGGTGACGTGAAGTGTGATCACAAACGAGAGTATTGCTCCCAAAGATCTTCTGGAACAAAACCCCAAAGTGGAGCCGGCTGAAACATGGTCCTGCGAAATGGTTTTAACGCTGTGCTTGGGAACTATAAAAGATACAGCTTGGAGGGTCTGGCCGGGTTCTCCAAGGTGTATTCCCGTGTCTCATCGCCACTTGCATCGAGCGTGCACATACTTTTTTGATACTTTACAGCAGTTTGCGTAAATAATGTCAGTAGCAAAATATTTGTGAGCGCATCGTGAGCTCTGTCCGATATGGAAATGTAGGAATGCGTGCCCTCGTTGCCTTCGTGTGTCTGCGTACTGCCGGCGACGGCCAAACCACATCATGTAAACGGCGTCTCTGCCCTCCTTCTCTACCTTCCTAAGAAGGGAGGGACCAAGTGTCTCGCTCCACGCAGTGACCCAGGGTCTCCCCTGACGGGTCCCAAATCTAACGGGGACTCACAGCAGACTTACGAATTTACACCCTGTTCACGGCTAGTTCGTGCAATGAGTCTCTGCCCTCCTTCTATGCCTTCCTAAAAAGGAAGAGACCGGGTGTCTCGCTCCACGCAGTGACCCAGGGTCTCCCCTGACAGGTCCCAAATCTAACGGGGGCTCACAGCAGACTTACGAATTTACACCTTGTTCACGGCTAGTTCGTGCAATGAGTCTCTGTCCTCCTTCTATGCCTTCCTAAAAAGGAAGAGACCGGGTGTCTCGCTCCACGCAGTGACCCAGGGTCTCCCCTGACAGGTCCCAAATCTAACGGGGGCTCACAGCAGACTTACGAATTTACACCCTGCCCACGGCTAGTTCGTGCAACGAGTCTCTGCCCTCCTTCTCTGCCTTCCTAAAAAAGGGAGAGACCAGGTGTCTCACTCCACACAGTGACCCGGGGTCTCCCCTGACAGGTCCCAACAATCTAATGGGGGCTCACAGCAGACTTATGAGTTTACACCCTGCCCACGGCTAGTTCGTGCGGTGAGTCTCTTCTCACGCGACTCACAATAGATGATGTTCCATTTTCGCAAATAATATACTCCAACGGCAATGTGGCCTGCGCACTCTGAGAATGTAGTGAGAGGACGCCGGGGCCACTGGAAAGCAGCTTACACGCCATTCTCCGTTTAGATGGGCAGGCTAGACTCGAATTGGGCACTAGAAGCGGAGCAGACGTAGTCGGACAACCTGACAACTGCAGTGCCCGCAAGCAACGTGTCAGGACACCACATTGAATGTGGAGGCAGTTTGCAGACCTCGGAGATCGAGACAGCACGATCATCGCTGGAACGAGAAATGAGTCAGCAGAATTTGACGCAGGAATGATAGTTACCATGTCAATGGTATGAAACATTGCGATTCTTGCACATCGAGGGTGGCAAACCCATAGCCCGGTGCTACAGAATAATGCCTGTGTCCGAGATGACAATCCTTTCAGAATGTCAAGCCCTGAGACTGTTGTTCTGTTGGTACGCTCAGTGGTGCATGATCCGGTATGAATGTGTTGTTGTACATGGTGGTTTGCTCTCATGATGACAAGAGCAGATCAAACAGAACGAAAGGAAAGAAGGGGGCCGGACCAAACGACCACGATTGATCCATATTCAAGAATGGGAGAAATCAAGGCTTGTCTTTGACCGACGACGAAAGTGTTGAGACGTAGAACACGTGGCCACACTCCAGTTGACGAGCCAGGAACCAGCAAGAGCAATGGTCAGTGTCTACCGACTGCTCAGAGAGGATGGAGGGCTGCATTTGTGTGAGGATAGTGACTTACATGAGCAAATGATGATCACATAGATATTTGATTTAGGAAGCAGCCGATTGTGGCAGATATGGATTGAGGGCGACCTGCTGCGCAGCGTTGAGACAAAGCAGGAAAGAGGACGGGGTGCTCGTCATGCGTTTTGGAAGGAAGGGCTTGTGTAGAGGAGGTGGTATCAAACGCTGGAGGCCCGCATCAGATGATTCAGATCACTTACTCACGTCTGATGCATCCAACCCACTTCGCAATTCGCTTTACAATTCGCTTCATACCCTTCCTAAAACAGTGCATAGTTGCATGCTGTGACATTCACTTACTGGTAAATTGATAACCGTACAACAAGGCACAATCTGAACTTTGCACATGTAACGTCAGACTGCGATGCGGCGCTGCTGTTCAACCATCGCAACTCCACGCTGACTCTGCAGCACGCCACATGTTTTGCCATTTTGTTTCATCAAATTCAAACTTTCCAAATACTTTCGACTTCTACTGCGCAGGAGTTGCAGTAAAAAAAGTAATTCATTATTTGTCCACGCGAGTCAGATCGGTATAGCCTACCGAGCGCCGCACCCCGAGAAATAGGGGATTGCACTCGGCGGAGGGGGATGTGGTTGGCGGTCGCATGGATGAACCCGAGTAGAACTTTGGGCGCATTGAGAGATGACGATGTGATTTGGCTCCGTTGTGCCTATCACAATCTCTTGGTCAGGTTCCCACAGCTTTCGCTGGGAGTATGACTTCGGCGTACTTCAGGATCACCGCCAGCGGAAGAACTTTGTAGGAGCCTATAGGAGCCCGCCCTGTGGTCCGAGATCCATGCAAAAGTAGAAAAGGCGGCTTCGCGGGCAAGTGACATTTATAACGTCATGTATGTGTGATCGGTCTGATCAGCTTCTGTAGTCAACGCTCAACGTCCAAGTTCTTCATCTGGGAAACAGCTATGCCACGCGGCTGTCGACAGCTCTTTCGCACTTGAGCAAGCCCTCTCATTGGCTAGTAAGTGTTTCACCGAGCACGAAGGGAGTCTTACGACAAGTCACTTCTAAGCAGAGGTTGCTGTGGACTGGTCTTCCCTCGGGTGGCTTTGCAGATGTTGGTTCATTAGCGATCTGAGGTCCATGTGTTGAAACTCCCATCCTGTTCCTAGTGGATGCCAATGATGAGCCCAAATGAGACCAATTTACTAGGAACACAATGGAAGTTTCAACATGTGAACCTCAAATCACTGATGAACCAAAATGAGGGTTGGAGCTTGGTGCACGAACTCCTGCTCTCTGAAGTAGGTACGTACATGCTTGCTAATATTTTCGTACATGGACATTTCCCCCCTACCGTAATGTCTACAAGGTGATGTGATTCTTGAATGTATCAGTTTGTGGGTAGGCATTGCAGTGGGTGGCATGTCACTGCCTGCACCCTCTCCCTATAGTGTCAGCTCATTCAATGCAAGGGGATTTTAAAGTGATGGGAAATATAGCACAATAATAGAAACTATATACCCTACATGACAAAATTTATGACAGACAAATACTACAGTCATCTACCAGCACTTGAACCACCACCAACACTTGAACCAAACACAAATTATGTGTGAATTCCAGTCACAACAAGTAAGACAATGGTTGAGGCAATGAAATACAATACTTTGCTATGCTTGGCTATAAGATAGGCCTTGCTCAAGACCACCATTAGACTGATGATTAGTGTTTTACCCTTGAAATCATGAAGTTTCATAACTACTACAGGGAATATGAATGCTGTAGCCATTCTAACTAATGGAATATTTACATTTGCTTCTTTGCTTGGTGGTTCCAACACCTGATTGGGAGATCAGCAACTTGTCATGTTGCCACTGCAATGCTGATGAAGGAAGTCAATAAGGATGTTGAGTTGTTTATCAGTACATGAGATATCCCTATTATGGAATAGTCAGTAGGGACTCAAATATCATGGCAAATAGAAATGTGCATGAAGTCTACAACCCACTCAAGTTATGGCTGGCCATGCAAAATCCAAGTGCAGGAAGCAATGTACTGCAGTTGTTGATCAAGAAGAAGGTCTTACATATGTGATGAAGCTGTGGAATGATGACAAAGAGAAGCCAGAGGAAGATTGGAGGAGTCTGCAAGCAATTTGTTGTGAGGCAGAAGAAGAGATAAAGAACAGGAAGAAGAAGCATATTACTGTTGACAGGGTTACTCTCACAAGACGACTTTGAGGTGGGAGAAGCTGTCAACAAGCAAATGAGGAAAATCATTCCTGGCTTACATCCAAAGAGGAGGAGAGCATTGTGGAGTATTGCCTTGACCTTGCAGCAAGAGGCTTCCCACTCAGTCACAAGAGGCTCAAGTTTCATGTTGACACCCTCCTACAAGCACAACTTGGCAATTCTTTCCCAGAGACAGGGGTTGGAATGAATTGGACTGCGCATTTCCTTGATTGGCACTCAGAGCA